TGTGTGTGTGTGTGTGTGTGTGTGTGTGTGTGTGTGTGTGTGTGTGTCTGCCTCATTCCTCAGTACTCCATTTGTTGTAGCTGCTTCGGTGTTGAATAACCTTGGAGATGGAAAAACAAGTGCAGTCCACATTATCTCACATCGTATTCACAGACACAAACATGCTGAGAAACCTGTGACAAGGTCAGAAACAGCGTGTTTTCATTACACAAAGTATATAAGAAGAAAGTATTAATCGAGGGATTTTAGATATCCTAGAGGGAGTTGAAGGGAACAAAGAGTTGATAGCATTCCCACATAACAGACTTATCAAGCATTCAGCCGCCATAGCAGCAGTCAGTGTGAGTCACTGGTCCGTTAAGCTTCAGTTCTGACCCCCTCACTGTCTTCCCCTCAGTCTCCCTCTCTCCCCTCTCCTTCACCCTTACACACACACACACATTTAAGAGCAGAGAAAGTAAGACTGGGCCTCCTCACCGTGCAAGTGGGATTGTAGTCTAAGGAGCTTGACCCAAAAGAGATTTGTGGACTGCATGTCTTGTTAATGCAACATCACAAGACTAAATCCCAATGAACACAGTAAGGTTTGTTCCACTAATAAGGCAGAGAGAAGAGGGTGGATGGTGCTCCTTTGCTCATAGAGGTCACTAGGAGCTTTCCATATGTTTTAGTATTAACGAGAATCATCGCTATTTCAGCAAACCTAGAAGAAGAGTTGATTCAGTGAGTCAATCAACCAGTCCAGTACCAGTAACCACTGACTCACACCGGTCTTCAGTACTGTGACTCAGTGAGGGGGAAGCAGAACACTAATTATGAGACATTATGGACCAATTACCGTCTTTTGTCATAGTAAAAAAGATCGAAGTTTTTAACACCAGACTTTTTTTCCCCTTAACAAGTGACTTAAGTGACTTCAAGTTGTGCTGTAGAATAGGCGTGTGTTCTCGAGGCAGTTGTGTTTAATTAGTCAGTTCTTTTTACGGGGGGAGATCCCTGTTGTTTCTAAATGCAGACCATCCACCGCAGCCTCAGCATTTATTTGGTTACGTTAACATACTTTTCCCCCTCTGCTTACCGCAGGCCACATGCAGACACACATACAGTCCACACAGGCAGGCATTTACAACTGAACCACACACCGTACTAATGCCTCATTAGTGTCTTCTGACTCATTTAGACAGAGATTATAGGGTCTGTGTGTTGACTGACTACCTGATGGACAGATTTAAGGGAAAGCTTCTGTCAACACTGTGAAGAAGCTGCCAGAAGGTTCAATCAAACAAAGCTATGGTTTGAACTAATGCCATCTCACATGCTTACACTGCATGTAGATTCATGTTCTGCAGGGGATTGAGATCACACACGCACTGACTTTAGTTTAGCTTCAGTCTGTTTCATTTAAAGCAAATAGGCACACACAGCCTGTTGTGATTAGTTTTTCCATAAATGTCATCCCTTCAAAACACCACAACCAAAACACAAACAACAGGAAGTGCCTCCAGAGTGTATCTGCATCTCCATGACAAACAGTGGATATAGTCTTGCACACCAGAGCTCCACCCATGGGTGAAACAATGGGTGTTTTACACTCTATCAGATCTGACCTTTTTCATCTATAAATGGCTTTTTGCTCGGGTGCACAGACAATATAATAAGACAAACGCGGGTCTGTGCACATGAACACCCAGCTTGTTTATGAATAACGACCAGTCCCTTCCTCTGCTTGTGCATGTTCGTGCCATTGTGTGCGAGTGTTATACCAACAAAAGGATGAGGATTCATAGCATATGTGCGCATACTCGCAGCAGCCTCACCCTAATACCAGAAGCACCCAACAGCTTCCTAACAAAGAATCTGTCAGCATGTTTTTTTATCAGATATTCACGCTATTGGGCTTATGTAACTGGGCCACTTTTTGAAACAGCACATAATCACAACAGAAATGTCTATTTTTAAACTTGAAGGGGATTTGATTTCACCTCGTTGTAGATCACGTGACTGCTGATTTGATACTCCAGATATATTTGAACACATGTACAACTTTTCCTGCAACATCAAAGACTACTTCCAACATCACAGCAGCTTCTCTCCAGCTTTAGTGGTCTCGTGCCTGAACACAATTACAAACACCCATCTTATCTCCACAGCTCTGGCCCATATGTAGCCAACACACACACACTTACTCACTCACTATCTACCCTGCCCACTATATTTAGCACCATGCTACATTACCACTTCACACTCCATTGAAAATGTACGGTACAGCAACAGTTTTGATAAGAGCGCCGGTTTTCTTTCTTCATGCTCGCGCACACGCATACACACACATAGACATACTTACAGCACATAAATACATACATTAAGCTGTGTTTACGTACTTTTTTCATCATATTTCTTCCCCCTCCTCCCCTTTCCTCCCTCTCATCCCTCCGTCCATTGTTTTCCCAGGCTATTAAAATTCCTGGACTGTGACCTGTTCCTCCCCGAGCTCCCTTTCTCCTCTATTCCTCCCTCATCCCGTCATAGCTGGGTCTTCCACTTCCTTTTTCCTGTTTGTCAGTCTTAAGTTTTACTTTTGTTACTCATGGTTAGTCAGTGCACATCAGGGGTTTGCGTGTGTGTGTGTGTGTGTGTGTGTCAGCTCCAGCTGATAGATGCAGGCCCATTTGTGTTCTGAAATAGCCCACGCTATTCTCTTCTCTAACAAGAAACAGACTCTGTGAATGTGTGTATGTGCGCGTACACAGAGGTCTGACTAAACAAAGCAAGGCCACTTCAATTGCTGGGGCCACAGAAAGCTTCTTTCCCCCTTCATCACTCCTCCCCTGACCCCTCGTTACACACATACACATACACACACACACACACACACACACACACACACACACACCTCCCAACCACATAGCCGAAAGCAGGAAGCACAGACCCTGAGGGAGAGAGGAGGGGTCAGGAGGAGGGGAGACATTAACGCCCCCTCCCTCTCCTCGCAAAGCTACAGGAGAGGAGGAAACTTAACTTTACACACTTTCCCTCCATCAACACACACACACATGCACATGCCTACAGATGGTGAACACCCACCCACTCATAACGTCCTGTTCCCCTGCATCTGGGAGGATTTTAGCTACACACATGCTGTGGAGTACGTCTGGGGGGAAACTTTCTCGCCCAGCTGGCTTTGGCTCCATTTAAAGAGGAGCCGATGGTTCAATAAAGAGGACGGAAAAGAGAAAAAAATCAAATCTGAGCAGAGGAAAGAAAGCCTCCTCCCTCTCACACTGTCTTTCTCCAGAGTGCGGTCATCCAACGAAGGGATCTGATGTGGACATGGCCGCCTGGTCTGGACCTGATCAGAGAGCCACAGACTAGGTCCTCTGCCTCCACCTCCTTCTCGGTTCCCAACTCCTCCTCTTCGTCAGCTTCTTCCATTTTTTTCTCCTCTTCCTCCGTATCCATTGCCTTTTCTCTCAAAACAAACTGGAACATACTCAGAAGAGAATGGAGGATTTGGCTGAAGGCTGCGTGGATTTAATGTGAAGCATGTTTTTATTTTAGCAGCCCTGAAGAGTGTCTGTTTCTCCTAAACCTCAGGTGTTCCAATGGCGTCAGTTGGAGAACCTCTACTTCAGAGAGAAGAAGTTCTCAGTGGAAGTTCATGACCCAAGAAGGTAAATTTCTAACATAAATTTAAGCGTGTTGAACTGGATGATACCAGTTCTACTTCAGTGTTATTACTATTTTCTCCAGTTAATATTTGGAAGTGATGGAATTTTCCCTCAGTTATGGACAACTTCCAGTAGCTTTTACTACAAATTACCACTGTGCCATATGTGAATTTGTTAACGTTTCAAACTGCAGTGCAGAAAAGGAGAGATTGGAATCTAATTCAGTAATGGTTGCAGCATTTGTCTTGGCAATAGAGCAAGATATTGGGGATGTCCCGGCGGAGCCTGACACAGATTGATAGGCTGATTATTAACACACTTGTGCGGCCGCATGCATGCGCCAACACATGTGCTCTTTCACACACACACACACACACACACACACACACACACACACAGGGTAAACCCTCGACAGTTGACCACAAAAGGATAGATGGCTGCGCGATAGCTGTTTTGCGGAGGAAGTGACCTCTCTGGTGTTTATTTAACATGGCTGTATATGTGGAGTGTTATTCTACAGACAGAGGAAGGAAGGGAGTGAGAGAAAAAGACACGGAGAGGGTGAAACAGAGAGCGGTAAGGAAGCTGTCATTAGGGTGAGCTGGTCGGGTGCTTAGCTGCAGATGTCTGTTTAAATAAGGATGAGTAAACAATTGGGAACATCGTGTGTGGCTTTGCAAAAAAATATCTATACGTAAATATGTAGCCATCTTTTGTATTCAGTGTATATAAGGAGGCCTTGTGTCCGCTCTTACTGTAGGGCGTCGGTGACAAGAAGGACGTTCGGTCACAGCGGCATCGCGGTGCATACGTGGTACGCCTGTCCTGCCCTCATCAAGTCCATCTGGGCCATGGCCATCAGCCAACACCAGTTCTACCTGGACCGCAAGCAGAGCAAGGTCAGCAGGCCCACCAGATACACACTCACACCGCAGACATGATTAGAAATGTCCATGAGATACAGCAGACTCAGCAGGCATGGTCAGCAAGATTCTTGCAATTAAACTGCTTAACGATGTGCTTTGACAAACCCTCTCCGTTCTTTGTCTCTCCAGTCTAAGATCCATGCAGCGCGGAGTTTGAATGAGATCGCTATCGACCTCACGGAAACAGGGACTCTGAAGACCTCCAAACTAGCAAACATGGGAAGCAAGGGCAAAATTATAAGTGGCAGCAGTGGCAGTCTGCTCTCGTCAGGTCAGTATATGGTCAGTGTGTGTGTGTGTGTGTGTGTGTGACTGTGCTTGGAAGAGAAGGAGAAAGAAACTCAGACTACAGGGAGAGAGAAAGAGTGATATGTGTGCACATTGGTCTCTGTGTTTGCACGTGTGGTGGTGAGGGGGAGTCTCGTTGACAACTGAAGAGACAGAAACAGCTGCTTCTGGAAAGAGGCCATTGATTCCCCGCTGAATATTCTCACACACATACTGTACACCAATACACCCCACCCAGTGTCTTTCTGTATGTATGGGACACCGCACCCACCCTCCATGTCTCACGGACATATCCTCCACAGGCCCCTGTCCCCTCTAAATTGAGTGGGTAAGGGAATGAATCGGGCAGCGGGTCAGTGGACAGCTTTGCCGCGGCCTTTAAAACAATGCTTATCCGTGTTGAACAAGTAATGAGTGTGACAGGAAGGGAACTAAATTTAGATTAGAAAGGAAAATGCCCTTTTAAATCCAGACAGCCATGTAAAGTGTGTCGCATGCTGTGAAAGTGAGTAATCAGGCGGAATACTGAAACACGTCAGTAACATTGTCCTGCGAGCTTTCCTCATTTTGATTTCTCCAGCTCGTGTTTTTTCTGTTTCCTCCTTAATCTCAGTATAGAGACATGTATCTGTCCCTAATCCCTTCCCTTTATCTCTTCAGCTATCCATTCCTAGTCTCCTAATCTCCCTTTTCTCCCCTCTCTGTCCCTCTCCAGTTCTACCCCCACCCCGTATGATACAGGGTGTCTCTGTCTTATCTGTCTGGGTTTTGTCACTTCACTTATTGATGTTGAGTCAGTGTGTTGATTTCATAATCCACTGCTGACTGGAGGCCATTTCTGCCCAACAACATAAACATGTCACAGGAAATGTGACGCCAAATCCATGCACCCCCCCCTCCGCGACAGCCAACACGTCTCTCTCTGACTCCATTATAGAGTTTCTCTGATTCAATTTGAAATCATTTGTGACTACAAAATGTTATGTTTTTGAGCTGCAACGACAGTTGAATGGACGCTGCTAGTGTTTGTGTACTTAATATAGTATAACTTGTAACAGAATAGAGAGCCATCTGTCTGTCACAACTGTTTCAGTGGTTTGTTTTGTATTGTTGCTATCTTTGACCACACAATCACTGAGAGAGCTACAGAGGGAAACACAGTGTGTACGTCTGGGGATGTGTGTGTTTTTGTTAACAAATCATGTTGCAAACAAGACTGGCACCATCTCAGGGCCTTGGAGATTGTGCGTCACAGACTTTGTCCTAAACTGCCCCTTCCTTGAAACACTCACACAAACACACCACTAAAACTCAGTTTCCTTATCGAAACGTTCCATTCGCTTCCCTGTGAACATCCTGCGAGGATAGCAGGTGCATGCCCATTTTATACCTCCACAATCTGCCGAAGAAGTCCCCACTACTCCAAACACACACACACACATGTTCCAGACTCCTGTCCTCACGTGATGTGTTGTCTGTCTCTCCGTGCAGGCTCTCAGGAATCGGACAGCTCGCAGACAGCTAAGAAGGACATGCTGGCAGCACTGAGGGCTAGGCAGGACGCTCTGGAGGAAACTCTAAAAAAGAGACTAGAGGAACTGAAGAGTATCTGCATCAGAGAGGCGGTATGAGCAAACACAGATCTGGCAAACATTTTGAGAATCAGAATACTTTTTAGCTCTTCCTTTCTAATTTGTCCCCTTGTCGTCTTTCGTAGGAGCTGACAGGGAAGCTCCCGAAGGAATATCCTCTGGATCCGGGAGAGGAGCCACCCACAGTCAGACGGAAGATCGGTACCGCCTTCAAACTGGACGAGCAGAAAATTCCTCCTAAGGGAGAGGTGAGGCTGCAACACCTTGTTCTCCGCAGTAGCACTTTATCACACTTTACAATCTCCCTGCTCCCCACACAGGCCAAATACAAACAGGAGGTCATCTAGTAGTGCCAGTGTGTGAAACAAATACACAACACCGCAAGTAGCTGTGCCAGGCACTGTGCTGCAGTAATTGGAATATATGAACGTAGCGCTAATTAGTTAAACGTGTTTATCTCCTTTTAACCCAGCTGTAATGTTAATGAGCCATTTATGAGCAGTATGGGCATTATAGATCAAACTGGTGTTTAAAAGCTCTAGAAGTTACACAGTGAAGGTCAGGGGCGGTTCAGGATTAACTTCACTTAAAGCCACTTAATACTCACATAATGGTCGGGATGATGATTGACATAATGATAGATTACCTCATCCATACCCAGTTGTTTACTAAGCAAAGGAAACAGACAACACTGAAAAAGCCACAGTCTAGAGACGTCGTGGACCTGCATCTTTGTCTTTTTGTGCCACGGGTAGATTTTCCAGAGCAGCAGAACTTCTAAAAATAGCAGCCGTTCTCGCCACAGGAAGTGGTGATAGTAGGATTGTGTGCGCGCCTGTATGTATGCAGGCATGTGGGTGTGTGTGTGTGTCGCTGAGGTTGTATGCTTTGAAAAGAATCCAGGGACGCGATATCACAAAACTGCCCTGCAAGCAGAAAGATGTCTCTAAAACTACACTGAACACCTTAAACTCACACACCATTTCCTTGTCTATAATCGCATTTGAACGTTTCTATTATACTATGCTGTTTAACAGTATACTACACCAAGCGTATATTGTACAGTAGATAGACATTTGTGCAGTGTAGTAAACATGCATGCAATATGCAACACATTTACACTTTGACAGAGTATGTTTTACTTGGTTCACCTCTGAAGTCTCTGCTGCACGAATCCCAGGAACCGTTTAGAGGAAGGGAGGATGGATTGATGGAGCCGTGTTGTTATTGGGGGACAGAGAGTCTCAATAGAGAATATCCAGTTGTGAGAAAATGCGGGGCTGCAGCACAGATAAATTATTTCCGCAGTGTGTTTTCTCTGGCAAGGCTCTGCGTGTGTGTGTGTGTGTCAAACCAAATAGGTTGCATGGGCGAGTTACCGTCTGAATATGTGTCTGCAGACGAAGCCTTGTTTTTTTTGGGATTGTGCAGAGATTTCGTTGCTAAATCTGTTTGCGAATCCGGCGTCTTTGTGCTTGTGTTACTCAGAGTTTGCCCTCGTGTTTGTGTGTGTGTGTGTGTGTGTGCTTATCCCAGGAGGAGGAACTGGAGCGCTTGGAGCGGGAGTTTGCCATTCAGTCCCAGATTACAGAGGCAGCCCGGCGCCTTGCCAGCGATCCTCATGTGAGCAGCAAGAAACTGAAGAAACAGAGGAAGACGTCTTATCTGAACGCGCTGAAGAAGCTCCAGGAAATTGAGAACTCTATCAATGACCACCGGGTCCGCTCTGGCAAGAAGCCTACGCTGAGAGCTTCGCTTATCATAGAGGGTACCAATATATATATATATATATATCCTATTCACTACAGGGAAATCAGATTGTACTATTGATTAGCTGTAGGTGCCACGACACACACAGCATTATTGTTCTCAAGTACTGTTTCGAGTAATAGAATAAAAGCCAGTGGAGCTGACAAGTTCCAACGTTGTTGCTTTTGACACATCAAAGATTTGTAAACAAGTTTTAGATCTAGTAATTGTACAATCTCTAACCTCCCGTCTTTATTTCTCTGTCCTTTAGAGGCCAATATCGGTTCTGAAGACAGTTCATTGTCTGACGCTCTGGTCTTGGATGATGGTGAGTCTCTATCCTTCACATTACTCTGCAAGATTCAATAACTCGCTGATTTCAGGGTTTTTTAAAACTGTCTTTAATGCGCCAATGTAATTTATTTATTCCTCTATTTCAGATGATCCACACGTTACAGGTACCCCCACCTTCTCTCCAGTAGCATCGCCTCACAAGGGCCTCCCTCCTCGACCGCCATCTCACAGTCGGCCCCCTCCACCTCAGTCCCTGGATGGCCTGCGACACCTGCACTATTCACGCCCTGACTACGATAAGTCACCCATCAAACCCAAGATATGGAGTGAGTCGTCACTGGATGAGCCCTATGAAAAAGTCAAGAAACGCTCCTCTCATTCCAGGTATGAGGGAGTTTACCTTAACTAGCGTTAGAATAGAGCTACTGTGTATTAACACGTGTGTGTGACGCTGCCCGAAATGATTTAAATCAAGTGTTAAACAACTTTATTTGAGATATTGTTTAGTCATCTCAAATGTAATTAATCCAATCAAAATTACAAGTAATGTGGCCGGAACTACAATTTCAGACTTGAGTCAGTCTGTGACAGTAGTCTTAAGATGAATGCCTCAAATGTGGGGTTGACCACAAGTTCAGTAGAGCTCACCATACACAGATTGCCTCTGTGAAAGGAATATAACATTAATTATGAATTGTGTTTATTTTCGTTGCCTCTTTGCCAAGTCACAGGCGTTTCCCAAGCTCTTGCAGTGCAGAAGCAGGGGGTAGTAACTCTCTGCAGAGCAGCCCCATCAGGAACCTCCCTCACTGGAATTCTCAGTCCAGCATGCCCTCAACCCCAGACCTGAAGACCAGGACCCCACACTACGTACATTCCACTAGGTCAGTCTTTATACCTGGTTCTTAATTATTACGTTCACATTCACGTAGTTCTGCAGATCTGTTCCAGCTCAGCCCTTATATTGAACTTTTTTTGTGATGCTGCATCTCACAGGTCAGTGGACATCAGTCCCACACGTCTGCACAGTCTCGCTCAGCACTTTAGGAACCGCAGCTCGAGCCTTGAGTCCCAGGGCAAACTGTTGCCGCCCGACCCCGGCGCACACCCGCACACCCTGGGCACACTCGGCAGCCCTGACTTCTTCCTGGTCCCAGGACGCAACACCAATGGCTCTGACCCACTGGATGACTGCTCATCCTGCACCAGCCAAAGCAGCTCAGAGCATTACTACCCATCTGGTGGACCCCCGAGCAGCAACCCCAACTACTCCACTCTAGGAGAGGACTCACCCTCCAAAGCCAGGCAGAGACAGAGGCAAAGGCACAGGTAAGGATGCAGGGGAAGTGGCTCTCTTCATACAATTCATTTTCTGCCAATATGTACTATATACAGTATATATATATATATATATATAAAGAAATGAACAGTTTTAGTGACATTGATGTATGTGTTTGTTCCTTTGTTCTCTCTCCAGGTCAGCAGGTCAGTTGGGTTCCTCTAACTCCGGCTCCATGCCCAACCTGGCAGCTAAGAACGGTTCTGTTGGAGGCTCGGGAGGAGGTGGGGTGGGAGGGGGACACCACGGAGTCTACCTCCACAGCCAGAGCCAGCCCTCCTCCCAGTACCGCATCAAGGAGTACCCGCTATACGTGGAGGGCAGCCCAAACCCTGTGGTGGTGCGCAGCCTGGAGAGCGATCAGGAGGGCCACTACAGCGTCAAGGCCCAGTTCAAGACCTCCAGCTCCTACACGGCCGGGGGACTGTACAAGGAGGCCTGGGGGGGAGAGGAGGGAGGAGAGGGGAGCGGCCGACTCACGCCGTCGCGCTCTCAGATCGTAAGGACTCCGTCATTGGGGCGAGAGGGTGGTGGAAGCGGAGGAGGGGGGAGGGCAGCAGTGTCTGAAGAGCTGCGGTGCTGGTACCAGAGGTCCTCGGGGAGCCTGAAGGAGAGGAGTCACTCACATTCGGGGTCTACTTCCTCGGAGACGGGGTCACAGCAAGGCACTCTGGGACATAGTCGAGGAAGTAGAGTAGGGACTCTCGCCAAGGGCTCACCAGGTTGGTCTTCTTCATTTATTCACAATAAACCTTGTCTCATATGGGTAAAAAGTATCATGATGTGTTTTTAGATAACAAAATTTACACTATTCCTGTTTATTCAGGTTGACTAATATTTTGTTTATTCAGAGGTTCTAACATTAATTGTCGAAGAGAAAATATCCCTAGTGACACTCAAACTCATGACCTTTAGATTATGAGCTCTGGGAACTGGCTCACGGCCTGTTTTTAGATGGATTGGAAGAGGGTGAAATGTCGAGCATCACTTTGTCGCTTCATGTCAACCACTTCCATCTGAAATGATTTGTAGCCTGTTGCTGTGTTGCTTGTTGTGTGAATACAGCGTAACATTCAAACCCTCTTTTCTCATTCTCATAGAGCAGCTGTCCCCACTTTTCCCTTACGTGAATGAAAATGAATCAGTGCGTAATCCTTATGTTAGCAATATCAAATCTCACTGCATCAACTAAATTAAAACATCAAAAAGCCAGTTTTTTTACTTTTGTGTAAATTTAGAAATTAAAAATGGCATCCTACTTAGACTATATAAATATAATGCACATATCAAATGGATGAACCGGGAATCTGGGATTGGATTGAGCCTAAAATTGTGATTGACAAGTCTACAGGTTTATATTATGCAGACTTTTTGTGGACAAATGTCAATGCCCTGTGTGAGGATTGAACTCACGACCTTCAGATTATGAGACTGACGCGCTGCCAACTGCGCTAACAAGGCTGGTATTAGAACCAGTCATTTGCCCCTCCCCGAAAACCCCCCCCCCCCCCCCCCCTCACCTCCCCTCGGGCTAATTGTTCTCAGTGGCCACATCCCCCAACCCCCCCATATGAGAAGCACAGTTGGAATTCCTTTGCCGCTCGCCTCACTTCAGCCTCTGCTATGTGTGTTTGCTCTGTGTATCCATGTGTCTCAATACATGTGTCTTTGAATCTTGTGTCTCTCTAACTCATGCTGCATGTGTTGTATCTCATTTAGCATGACTAACTGTCAGTTTTCCCCATAGCTGCATCCCCTCACAGCCAGAGGAGTGTGACGCCCTGCAGCGAACATGCAGCCACACCAACACCCCCCTGTAGCCCACAGCACATCCTCAACTGGCAGAGCGGGTAAGAGACAGACACACACACACACACTGCAGCAGACCGGGTTGACAAGAAGATATGAATTTACATAATTTTAGGACAAACTGCATCTTGGCTACTCAGCTTCTTTTTCTCCATCTTTATCCAAACCTCACTCGACCATCCTCACAAGCTTTGACTTCTGTCGTCTGATATTGTTTTACACTGCTGACCTAACCCTAAAGAATGGTTTTCATGGGATTTGGGCGTAACATCTATTTTTAAACCTTTCTCGTGTCTCGTCGCTTCTCTTGACTTTTCATTCTATTTGGCTGTTTGAGGTACTGATTCACTCACTGCGTCTTTGTTTCTTGTTTCTTCACTCGTCGTCCTGTCATCTCTCACTTCCTCCGATTTTCATCATGGAAATTTCTCTTATTACCTAATATTTGTCATTTCTTCCTCGTCTCCCTCTGTCTGCACTAACCCTCCTTTCCTTGTGTGTGTGTCCTCTCTCCTGGTTTAGAGGCACAGCAGACAGCTCTCCTACTGAGGACGTCTGTCAGTCTCCCCCTCAGCCCAGCTCTGATGCATAGAGGTACTGTCTGTGGTCTCGACCTGGCAGGGGTCTAAACCTACAGTGTACTGTTCGAGGGGCACAGCAGCAGCATTACAGAGTGAAAATAACCTTGAAAGAAAAAATATAATTTGACAGCAGTGCTGAATTTATTCCCAATCCGACTTTTATTTATAGAAATCTGTCTTTGCACACCTCTAAAAGTGTTCGGCACTCATGAGACATTACTGTTCACTTTTATCATCAACTGTGGAGGGCTGACAAAAGGGAACGCGGAGAATCTCTTGCTCTTTGACGGTGGCGGTATCTGCGTCCTGAACTCCTTCTTTGGCTGTATCTGTACCTGATCTCTGCATGTGCTCTGCTCTGTGGTCTGACACCGACACTGTGGCTAATTCCTCACAGGATCTACTAATATAAATACTTATTGTAATCATGTGCTGTAAGCGTTGGAACACAGAACACTCTTTAACAAACAATCTCAAAAGTAGATAAATGCTTGAAACCATGGAAATAGTATCTGTGTTTATGTTTTGATCAATTTACCTTTACAGCCCTGGTCCGTGTCTTCCTCTGCAGGTCTTTCAGTGATAGCTGTTTTCCCAGCAGCCCCTTGTGTTCAGAGCTGGCAGATGTGCAGTGGTACGGACGTGATAAGGCCAAACCTGGAACCCTGGTCTGAGACCTTCCTACCGGGCCCAGAAAAGTCCCATTGCCCTCTCCTACTGCCTCTCCACTGTCCCTCACTACTACTCATAGACAACCAACAACCTCATCCTTAAGGCCCTACAAAAAAACCCTGCCCTGAGCGGACTGGCGGACTGGACATGAGCCTCCCTCCTTCCTAAATCCTGCCCTCCATCCATCTCCCCACCTCTTAATTATACCCCTCTGTCACAGCTCAGCTGGACAGGGACACGCTCGCTGGGCTCTGTTTAGGGCTGGTTTCACAGGACAGACTGAGAAGTGCCACCTCAGCTGTTGAACTGTTGCCCTACAGCACCACAGAGCCCGTTCTTTACTCCCCCTCTGCACACAAGCAATGGGGCAAGGAGGAAAAACAGCGATGGGAAGAGAGAGCACAGAAAAATATCAAGCAAACAACTCAAACAGAACCAACATCGGCCGTTCCAGGATCTGTTTCATATCTCGTCGTTGGTCCCCCGACCTAACTAACTCCAGTGCACTGCCACCCGATCAGAGGATACCTGCTGGATTTGAGCCACCAGTTTAAAACCCATCTCCAGGCCCGAACAAACTGTGTTGGATTTCATTATTCCATTAATGTTGTTTGTCTTTTTTGTTTATTTGTCCCCACATATTTATAATAACAGAAGATGACAAATGACTTTTCAGGAAAAATCTGGATTAACAAACGTATAGATGACAAATTGAACTCCTCTCAGTTTAACCCACAACCAAAGACAACTTGGATCGACTGGTCACACCAGGGTCCCCGGGCTGGTGCCATACCGTGACAATATCAGGATGGGTTACGGGACTCTATCTGGGATATTGATGAGGACTATAGCAATAACAAACATTGTACAATATGAACTGGTTTGAGTCTACGGAGTGAATTACAGCAGGCGTGCTGCAGTGGTCTCTGCTCTGCCGTGCTTGGAGTAAACGATCATTAGTGTGTCATCGGTGAATTGGGAGTTGTGGTTATTGGGTTTGGCATTAATCTATGCTTATTTCAGTGACTTCATTTTGACAATTACTTGGCTGTAGTTTTGATATAGAAACAAGACATTCTGATTTCACATTTTCACCCCCGGGAAGTAAATGATTTTTGTCTGTTGACATCTGTTGGAATTACTTGTGGTTGATGTTGAGGCTGTTCAATGATAAATCTCCATAGTGAACCATGTTTTCTATCACGAGTGTCTCTTCCTCTCTGGTGGTCTTGCTTCTATACCGGTTCTTCTCACCACGCTGAGTCCCCTTTTTGTAGCACTGTGCGTTCTCGTCTTTCTGTCCACCCCTTCAACATGACAGGAGCAACCCGACTGGACACAGACAGCGTCAACTCAATGGTGACTAGAACACACACACACACACACTGGCAGTCACAACACATATTATGAACACACAAAACAAGTACAAATGTGCCAAACATGTTGGTGCTTTACATTCGTACTGTAATTCAGCACTGGAACAGCCCCTCCTTCGAGTCTAAAGCCATTGTACAGACACTCAGACAAATAGAGTAGAAGGTATTCAAATGTACTTTGAAAAGCACAACATTAACCGTGTCGATGAGGGCTGGACCTACAATTAGGGAATTTTCATTTTCCACTTTCAATATTTTAGTAATGAGTTGTATCAAAGGTAGAAAAGCCAGAACCACGGACAAGGTGTTACACGATAGTGCTCTTTTTATTAGTACGAGGACATCGAGGAGTTTTAAGTTGGACAATATTTAATCCCCACTGTCAGGGCAGAAGAGAAGCCATAGCCAGAACTGAAACAAACGATTGTTTAACCCACATCTCAATCAACAGTCAGATATTCAGATCAGGGTTAGAAAAGCACACCTGGTTTTGTAAGACGGAAGTAGAACTCTGCATGTTTTATTTGTATCTAAATCAATGTCCTTCATCTCCCCCTAACCAGAGTCAATCATTATTCTTTCATTGTTGCAAAAAAAGTAATCTGAACTGGTGTTAATTCACTGAGAGGATGACAGATTCTGCATCTCAGTGATAAAGAGAAGTGGACGTATTGTTTTCAGTCTCACGACACCAGTATGTCTGGGTGAATGGTGCAACATGTTTTATGTGCATCTTACCCTGTCCCCCATAGTGTTGTGTTTCCTTCATGCACTCACACCAGTTGTTGTAATCTGCCACGTTCTAGACTGTTTAAATAAGAAGGTTTAGTCCACTCCCTGCATGGTTGGTTCTCCAAGAGCTCCCCACCCATGCCTGGTCAGATTTGATCAGTTTTTACCCAGGATTGGAACCAGCGCTCCCTGGTTACCTTATTAGAGTGCAAGCTTGACCCTGCTTTACTCACTCAAAGTCTTTACCCGCTGTTAGTGTGCTAAGACACGACCCCATGCATGCCCTGCAGATCCACTGACAAAAAAAACGAACCCAAAGACATCCAGCACCCGTCCTGTATACGCTAACATTAGCACATCCTGCTCCGTAGTGTGCCCCATCTCGACCCTGTGGTGATCTCTGAGCCCGATGTGAAGAAGTGTGACGTCCCGTCCCCTCTGTAGCTCCAAACACACCATGTTTTCTGTGCTTCATAGAGATGTATGAGGTTTCTTTTTGTAATACTCCAAGAGAAATGAACTAACTCATTTATCAGTCTTTTCCTGTATGTACGGAGGGGCACTGTAAGGTTTTGTGGGGTTTTTAACATTCACATTCATTGTTTTACAATGTTCCATTTTATATGAACCAGTATTGTTTTGTTTCTTTAGTTCTGTAATAATGCATTCAGGTGCTACAAAATGACCAGTTACTGCTTCGTCACGTAGGATCTCTAGACATCTTCATTGTTCTCAATAGATTCAGTTTACCAGATGTGCAAAATGAAGCTTATTTTAACAGACAGTTTAATAGTAGAAGACACTTCCCCAACCAGACAATAGAGCATGTAACTTGATTTTATCAGTTCTGTTCAACTGTAACAATACATTAAAGCTGTTGTAGAAAAAATGTGGAATTGATAAAAAAAAATAACTGAATTCCGCAGTTAATTTATTCTTTTTTCTATTAAAATTTGTATAGTAACTTTACATTTTTCAAAACTGTGTTGTTGGAAATTGATGATGAATTTTCAAGATGAGAAGCAGTGTTGGTTATTGAGAGTAAGAAAAATAAATTATTGATGAATGTTCTCAAGATTATGCCTTCATCTGTTTTTCATTTCCGTTTTCCTCCTTTTTTTTTATTTCTATGGAAAAACATGAAGATATTTAGTCATTCGCTCACGTCTAGGCTATTCTGCTGAAAGTATCAGTCAGACTTATCAAAGGGGATCCCCTCACCACTTCCTCTCCTCCGGACACACTCACTCTCTTGTCAGCACATCCAGGGCTCAGTCACTTCCCTCTTGCACTCTGGCCTCCCACAGGAGAAGAAGAAGGATTTCCTGAGGGGTCAAAAGGAAGAAACACTCTAAAGATAAAAGATATTACTCATCACCCAACCACGAGATTAAACAGATGCACATCTGCATCTGGGCCGGCTTTATTTCACACATGCCGTCGCTTTAGATTTGCAGGCCGCTATGACACATGATCGGCAGCTCTGATCACACAGAACAATCTTTCTCTCTGCAGGAGATGCAGACATCTGAACAAATAGATTGTTTGAGCAGCTTCACCAGCTTCACAGACTGCAAACACACACAAACGGTAGTTTTGATACTTTACCATATAGAAAAGTGGCTTCTATATCAGAGGAATCAGTTGTCAGTGTCTGTGAGGACACCCGACCTCGTCATCCTGCTTTCTTTTATTCTCCTTCTGTGTCCGTTTGATAATGGATACCATGTTTCTCTTTGTACTCTTTGTGTTCCCATAGCAGCTCTTCCAACCAGGCAACAGCTGGAAGCTGTTAGCCCGACATGCCGTGAGAAACTAGCTCCTCCGTGATTTCTTTTTTTCACTCTTACACGTCTGTTAGTGTGCTTGTGTGTGTGAGCTTACTATAGGAGTGGTGTATGACCTTGCTTTATATCCTTAGTGAAATCCTTTTCGGAACTCCATGTACTCCTCTCTCGCTGTGAGGACCGCTGTGAGTTTTAGAACATAAAAAGTGAGGCCATTTTTGAAACATTATGACATTTTGTTAAGTCTTTTAAGAGACAGTTTTAGGGCTGGGACTTAAGGTTTTACGGTTAAGGTTAAATTAGGTTAAGGGTGAGGTAAGGTTAAAGATAAAAGTGAACGTGGAAATTAAGATCTGCTGGAGAAGTGAAGAGATCCGTGCAAGCTTACTAAAACAAACCATTTATTTACACTCAATGGTCATTCAATTAAAACAGTGAATTGCCTTCCCACGTTGTTAGTTAAGTCATTGCAGCTTAGAGTGCGTTCCTCTTCTCTTCAATATATGGCTTTGCCCTGACCAGCAAGTCTTTCTATTTCTATATTTGGCATCTGATGTGAAACAATTTCCTCATCTATTCTTCTTGCACTAAACAGGCTGAGCTGATTTGTGGATCAGACTGAAACACATGACAAGTCAGCAGCAATGCTGCTCTCTAGTGTTGACCACAGAGCAGCAAGATGGCAAAACTAGAATCAATTCCAACAATGTTAGATAAACAGATTGCTGAGCTTTGAAAACATGCATATATGTTGCTTGATTAAAATGTTTAACAAGTCAACGCTGTGTGTTGTGTTCACCATTGTTTCTTTAACATGCTGTTTATTTTTTGTAGGTTTAAACTTAGCTGCTGCACCTTGTTTGGGAACGTGAATTTGAAGCTTTTTGGAATCCCAAAAGCAGAAGTGATGCTGAATTTCACAATATTTAAAACAATTTTGGTTCAAACCAACCATGCAGACCCTGATCAATAACAGTAACTGAGGTTAAAAAAATGCTGCTCAAGCAGGAGTGTGTTCTTTCAGGTCTTTGAGTTTCACTGATTGAATTACACTTGTTCCAGTAGAGGCCCGTTGGTTTCATCTGGATCCTGCCCGGAAAAGAGCAAAAACAGTGAGACATCATTAAATATTCAAATTTTTAAAGTTGGTATCTCTGATTTATTTCACTGGAAATCTACGTGGACGACAACTTCCCATAAAACATGTCATCATCTGTCATCGCCACAGCAAATCAGCTGACTTAAACTGTATGCCTGAAAAAAAATTATCTCTGTACGTCTCACTATATTTACCTGTGAGAGGCGGCAGTAAGCCTGAATTTGGTGAGGACTGTAGCGGCGCAGGCCTCTCAACGACAGGAAAAGTATGTAGAACGACGCCAGAAAACACTGTACGGTAAATGCTATGGAGCTCCCCTTTGCAACATATGAACCAACACGCTAAGGATGAGGAGAGAGAGAGAGGGGAGGACAGTTCACTCACAGCTCAGGAAGCATTTCTACTCATTCAGAACATAAAGGTAGAGGTTGAAACAGGCTTTTGATAATGGTTAGAAATCTGTTTTGTATTGGTGGATATAATAAAAGAAACACCAGAATGCTTTTTATGCAATCTCCATGTTTTAAATGAATTACAGGATTACCTGTTGGTTTGTGTTGAGTGCGACAGGCTGCGTGGACCCGAGGCTGTTGGCCAGGAGAGCAGAGAAGCCAAACAGTAGACTGAAGAGGTTCAGACCCATCAGAGCGATAATCTGTTCATGATTTATGCAAAATCAAGCAATGCAGCAACATGTAAGCAACAAAACTACATAAAAAATTACAACACAAAGTATTTATACCTTTAATTTATTAGCTTTCCTCTGAACCTCCATAGCCAGACACCCAGCAGCCAAATACTGGAACAACACAAACAGTTGTGATTGTAGTGTTTTAATCTCTCTCTCTCTCTGTGTCTAAAGTGTTTATCAGTTGAAGCAGATGTGGACTCACACATAAGCTTGACCACACTGGTGTTGTCATGGAGACGGAGCAGCTGTAGCTCACACATGCATGGGTGACTGTGGCCAGTATGCAAGCTAATGCACTGAGGATCTGCACCACCTGAGGGGAAGAACAAGGTATGAAGCAGGCTGAGAGTGTAAATTCTTAAAAAGCGTTTAAAATGTTAACCAATGGTTTGCACAAGAACAAGAAAGTAGCATCTCACTCCAGTGACTAAAAGTCTGGTATTAACCACAGTCCCAAACCAGCGACTTATCCTGCCACTGATTAGCTCCCCGTGCTTGATAACCTGGTTCAGTGGGCGGGTTGAGGGTGTCTCCTTGAAAAACACCTGGTGCAACCCCTCCTGGAACATGTTCTGTGTCATCTGTTATGGAAGAAAACAGTTAGCTTGTCCAGGAAAACATAAATGGATGTTCAAAAAGAATCAGTCAAAGACTCAAAGACACACACACACACACACACACCTTTGATTCAGATTCGACACGGGATTTCAGTCAATGTGGCAGCTTACCTTCGCCAAATGTTGTCACGCTTTCCCTCATTTATCCACGGGCCGTCATATCAACAGAGAATGTCATCTAGCCAGAAATGAGAATCATTTAGAGACGGATTGTTTTCTCACAGTAGTGCAGCAGATCCAGAGGGTCAGAGTTCACTTGAGTTGGATGATAATGTTTGACTGAAGTCCACTCATGAGGAAGTGATGCAGGGAGATCATTGGTCATGGGTAAAGAGCTTATCAGCTGGTTGGCAATGGTTACTGTGACTTCACTGGTTTCATTTTAGAGTCAGGTTGAGATTATAACTCCAGTATCCACTCTCATATAGTACAAACGACAAAATACGTACTAGTTTATATCACACACAAAGTTTACATTTAAGTGTGAAGCAAAACTTATTCACTCTCTTTTTAACAAAAAAAGAAAATATGTCAAGTAAGAGCAAGGGACCACAGAATAATGTTAAAAGGGCACGTTGAGATATTATGAGGTAAGTATGTAAAAGAAAAACAAAACTTGGGCTTGGAAGGTCCTCCATTATACTTTATTTGAGAGACATGAGTCACATCATCATCCAGGAAATTTTGCAAAAATATAGGTATCACTGCATCATTATAGGTTTACTTTAGAGAACATTCTTCACTCATGCTGACATGGAGTCTGATGTAAGTGCCCAGTAACTATGAGCTCCCCCACAGGCCTGCCAATGCAGTAAGCTGCCTGCTATACACACAGTACTCAACTCCACTGCTTCAAATATTGTCCAGGTTTGCTTTAATGTAAAGCAGCTTTGAATAAGTCATAACTTAGATAGCCAATGTCATTAGTGACTGAAGCTGTTGCTCATTATCATAAGAGTAAAAAATGTTTGCTTTTGTTTGTGCAATCAGACTTTGGCATTAAAGAAGCGTGACAGTAATATGAAATCATGGAGGCAATTATGTGTGGAACATTTCATGGTCAGTAAGTTTGGGACATGCTAATAGTGGTCACTACAGTGGACAGCTACTCAAAAAGCTGTTTGCTTGTATATAACTGCAGTCACTGCAGTGGACCCTTGTGCATTATGCCATACACTGCCACCCACTGGGTGCCGGTTGTAAGTGCAACACAAATTCATCAAAACAAAGATTCTGGACATCTAGAAATGCTGAGCAGCTCAAAAACATAATGCCAATGCTTATATAGTTGACCCTTGCAGGTAAATGACATTTGGTAACATCAGGTAACAACCTAGTAGTAAAACTTCATTTTATGCTGGTAGAAAATTAATTAATTAATCATCTGCCCCCTATATTACGTTGGCTGTGTTTAAACTACAGTTAATAGGTTACTATAGCTGTGACTTTGTGGCAGAATGTGTCATCATCCAAAAACAAATTTGAAAGAAAAACAGAATTAGAAAGATGATACAGATGTTGTTCTAACCTGAGGTCCTCTGGCACATCAACATTTTAGATTTACTTTGTTCTCCGTGACAATATTTTTTGAAGTATCCAGCATTTTATATGATTAGAAAAAAACACATCTTCAAAGAGGAATAATACACATTCAAGGCTAGGTACTGTATGCAGTAACAGTGTCTCACCCACATAGCAATAAGAGACATGAACATACATTTATATGACCTATAAAGAGAAAATGTAAAATAGGATGGGACCTCTGATTGAACCTTGGAGAACTACAGGTAACGTGTTGATGAAGAAAAACAGTACTTACTGAGAATGTTTTATTTGAGAGATTTTAGTCAAATAATTGAAGTGCAGCAGCTTCCTTTTTACCAACCCAGGGTTTTGACAACAGTGCTGGTATCACGTGTGTATTTTTGAGATTATCTCTTCACAACAGCACAAGAACAGCAATAAATAATAAGCAGAAAATAGAGAAAATATAATAAATAATAAGAGGTATATAAAAAAACTAAACTAAATAGTAATGTCTAACTACTAATTAATAATAAAACAAAAATACAAACTAGCCGAGGTGATGTTTGATGTTCTCTCCGTGTAACTACGCGCTCCACCACTGGCCTGCTAAATGCAGTGAACTACTAACCCCTAGTGCTGTTCAAATTCTCTTCTTCAATTATTGCCCACTTTTACATTTGCTTAAATCAGCTTTAAAAATCCATAAACCAGGGTTCCAATATCACGTGTGATTGAAGCTGTTGCACATTACAGAATTAATCATGTTTACAATAATCTGTGCAATGATGTTTTGGTATGAAATTGACCAGAATAACATTACATCGTCACCGTAAGCTCAGAACTTAATATCATTTCGTTTTTAAAAGCCCTTGTTTACCTGCAGATTCCAGCAACACGTCAGTGAAATGAACAAGCCAGGAGAGCTAACAATGACACATCGCCCATCTCAGCCAAAAAGCCACAGAAGGCAGCACAACGAGGCCACACAGCACTCTGAGGACCTCAGACCCATTCTCTTTTTCCTGGCAGTGTTTCTGTGTCATTGTCCTCGTCCATCCCGCCTGTGTACAGGTCAGCCAACCTGCTGAACCGGGGGCCCCAGAGAGCCAGGCTCTCAAAGTCCTTCTCCTCATCTGAGTCTGAGGAGTTGATTGAACTGAGCAAACTCGCGTCTGAGCCAGCACCCTCATAGTCAAACACCAGAAGAGAGTCATAAGGAGGAGCTGTGGGGTCACTGTCTGCAGCATGCAGGTTCTACATGGAAAACATATCGCATACTGAGTTAAAGCACTCAAAAACATACAATACATATTGCACTAATACATTCTGTAGATCTTAACTCTTAGATACTTAATATATTCTTGTCTAAAATTCAGCATCACTCACATCCTCAATGAATTTGACAATCTCTTCATTGGCTTGAAGTTGTAGGCGGTAGCATGGGCGACTCTGGACAGTAGGAAACACATCAGTGCAGAAGACTTCAGGACGATTATCAAGCCCTCTGTGGAGCTGGTTCAGGTCATACTCCTAAAGAAAACAACAAGAGGAAGCAGACCCTGAAACTGACCTCCGGGTCTGAAGAAGGAAGCCAATGCGGAAGTGCCTTAAACTTGCATTGTCTCTAATAGCCATCAGGGGGCGACTCCTCTGATTGTATAGAAGTCTATAGAAAATGACCCGAATTCTCACTTAAACATCATAAGCATGATTTTATGGTCTCAATCGTTAGTTTCAAGTCTTCTTCAATACAGGATGATGGTCATTTCGTAAATTATGGTCCATTTACAGTAAAATAGACAATAAAGCAGGGTATGCTTTAGGGTGCGACTACCATGTGACTGACAGCAAGCTGCCACAGCGATGTCCGGTCTGGGAGTTGTCCGTGTTTTCGTCTAATAACTTTTACCCTTTTGCCGAGTGTTTTCAAATATTTTTGTCGCCTAAAAATGTTTTATTCAGCGTTTGGTTGAACTTAGCTCCATCCTGTGGTGTCACTTCAGGTTGCAAAAAGTAAAGATGGCAACAGCCTAAAACCAAGATAGCGGACTCGAAACTCGAGGCTTCAAAACGGCAGTCCACAAACCAATGTGTGACCTCATGGTGACTTTTTTATATACTTTCTATGCTAATATCCCGCTGAAACAATTCGGACATAAAAATATTGAGCTGCCTCGAGGACATTTGTTTCTGGCCTTAGCATGACTCAGGGTTTAAGTTTCACAGAAGAGGGTAGTGTGCTAGTTTTCACCTGATTCACTCTCTCCTTCCTCTGTTTTATCTGCCTCACGTTGCATCACTAATATTATATATCTTCACACCTGTGTTCTCCTCTCACCTACCAGTTTCCCTCAGGGAGCTTTCCACCTCTGCTAATTATTGAAACACTCATTCCTGCACATCTTCAGCCCTTTACTACATTGTCTCTGTTGCTTTGATGCTGTAGGTATCCAGTAATTCATCTGTCTAGTCCGTCTTAGTTTTCCTGACTCTTAGGCTGCTGGTTAAAACCCCCTTCTGCCTATATTTGGCATTTGTATCGGTTTGCTCAACCTGCCTATTATTCTGTTAAAGAGTGTAAGAGCAGACATCTGACAGCGCAGATGTCTTGTAATAGTTGTATTAAAACCTCCGGCTCCTACCCGGTCCTCTTCACCTCCTCCCTCTTCGTCGTAGTAGAAGATGTTGTCTCTGGGTTCGTCTTCAAGAAGAGGGACATCCTTCTCTGATCTCCTCGTTCTTCTCATCAACAGCAACAGCAGCAAGAGCAGTACTGTGGTCAACAGAGAGATCTGAGCAACTAAAGACAGATTTAGGACAACAGGGGCGAATATAAAAGACTTGCTACATACGCAGAAGACCAAAAATTCCTCCCAGAACTGAGGTTGCGAGGGAAGAACCTTGCAGACGAGGGGCCGAATGTGGGAGGAAGCAGGTAGAGACAGCCCCTTGACATTGGCACACTTCTACGTCCAGTGTGCTGTCTTGGTACATCATGCCGACGTCATAGATTCGCATCAGCACATTATAGTCCCCAGGTGACAACTCCCGCCTTGGAGCCAGGGCTGCCACGTCATCTGCAAGTAGAGGAAAAGATTCAGAACTAAGACTTGAGAAGTGCTTGCTTTGACTTTTGAGTAAATATTTGTCTATTTGTGAGTGTCACGGAGAGTTGGACATCAATATTTCATGTCTGTGTATACTGCTGATGAGCTCTCTTACTTGTGGAATTGGTACTAATAGTCCAGTTGATCCTGTGCTCTCCTTGAAGCTCCACAGTGAACGGTCCAGCATGACCAGGTCCGTCTAAGTCCACTATATCCAGCAGGGCAGGAAAAGGATCACTATTGCATAGACTGGCTTTCCTCTGCTTGATCACAGGATGATGATCATTCACATCTGATAAAGTCACAACCAGAGTACCCGTCCCTGTAGCCGGGACGGTATCTAGAAGAATGAAAAGAGAAGGCTTAATGTTTGGCAAATGAGAAAGCAGGTGGTGGCAGTGTGTTCAGGGCAGAGCAAAAGTGTACATTTACCATTGTCGTAAGCCAAAACTAGGACTGTGTATTTGCTGTCTTTGATATAGTGCGATTCTCTGTCCATGTTGCTTTTAACTTTGACCGATCCTGAGTCTTTATCAATACTTAGCCACCTGGCAGTGTCATTATGTAGTTTATATCTGAAAAAAAGCAGAGACATAACCTGATTACAACTAAAACAGAATAGTGTGCATATAAACACACTACGTGCATACTGTCGCCACGTGTAAACAGGAGGTGTGTTGTTGTTACCTAACGCTCTGTGTCCTGGCTGTGTCCGGGTCCTTCGCTCTGAGGTCGGCCACAGAGCTCTGTGTTTTCACATCTTCTGAGATGCTCACGTGGCTCTCTGCCGGACTGAAAACAGGAGGCTCGTTCTTGTCCCTGACTGTTACAGTGACCGTGGCTGTCGAGGTTGACACGCGTCCAGAAAACGGTACCTCGTTCGTCACCACCACCAGCAGAGTGAAGACAGGAGAGCTCTCAAAATCCAGCCCCTTGGAAGTGATGGGGAGCAAGGAAAGATGGATGAAGTACTCTGTTTGTTGAGTAAAACAAGTCTTCTATAAAAAAAACAAAAATGGACAGGTGTTTCCCAACCTTGGCTGTTTTGAGGATTCCCTCCATTTTACTGGAGCCTGTTGTGACGTTGAAGTCTCCTCCCTCATCGCCTTTGATTATTGAATATTTGGTGTTGGCATTTGGAGATCCTAACTCATCCTCGTCAGTGACTTTTAGTCTCATTACCTCCACTCCAACTTCATTCTCTTGGACTGATGTGGATATCTGGGGTAAAGCATGAAACTGTACTACATGCTGTTACACAATAAACTTATTTCACCATCATTATGAAGTATTTCTGCGTTTTTAACTCACAGATGTGACGGTGAATTGTGGAGCATTATCGTTGCTGTCAGTGATGCTAATTATGACAGCGCAGGTGGTTGTGAGCCCCCCTCCCTCCATATCAGCAGCTTCAACGGTCAGCTTGTACTCCGGGTGAGTCTGACACGGGAACATGAGTTACAGTGGAAATGAGGAAAGAGAAAGTCTTGTAAAGAGAAGAGTGGTGATTATATTACCTCTCTGTCCAGTCCGCCTGCCTTCACACTGATCGCTCCACTCACTGGGTTTATGGCAAACATGTCCTCTGTGGGCGTCTGAGCCGTTATCCTATACCGTATTACAGCATTGTATGTCTGTGGGTCATCTTTATCCACTGCTGTTACCTTTATGACGGAGTCACCTGTTTTAGACAGCAATGCAATACCGACTATAAGGACTTGAGATTTCAGTAAGAAAAGTCTGCTGAATCCTTTACTCACCAGTGTCGGCGCTTTCGCTCACTCTGCCATAGAAAGGGTTCTGGGTAAATTCCGGGGCGTTGTCATTCTGGTCAACGACATTGACGATGAGCTCCATGGGCTCCTCGGCCTTAATGCCCTCATTCAGTGCATGGGCCCACAGCTGAAACACACACCATACCATTCTGATTGCAATAGTTTGCATAAGGATAGAGACAGTTATGGGATTGACTGTATGAAGTGAGATTATGCTTTTTGTTTTAGCTCACACTGTATTTTGCTGTATTCTCCCTGTCCAGTGGCTGGGTCACAGACAGCACTCCAGACCTCCGGTCTACAGTAAAAACACCCTCAGGGGGCTGATCAGCGCCTGGTCCAGTGATGCTGTAGGTTATCGCCACTCTTTTCTCATTGTTTGACTTGATCTAAACAACAGATTTTACAGTCAAGGCGGCTTTACTCACAGAAAACACATTTAGTGAAAATGCAATCAAAATGTTATTTACCTTCACCAAGTATTTAGGATATGGACCCCTGACGTTTTCTGGAAAGTTAATTACTGGAATAACCCACTCCCTCTTCATCCGTTTTAAACTGCCAGACACGTGCGCAAACTCAGCGGTGGGGAGCTGCTCGAGGTCCACGTCACAGTCGTTCTGTTTGAATCAGAACTCACCATGTGAGCTCAGATATATAATTGCAATCTAATCAATAAGGCAAGTTCAAGATTACAAGATTACCTCTAAATGTTTGCCTCTTGGAGTTTCATTATTCGTACAGTTGATTCTGTTGTTCAGGCAGCATGGCTGAATTCCTGCCGCAGCCAGAAAGGCTAAACACTGAGGAACAAACATCAATGTCCAATTCAAATATACCAGCCCATAATTCACTTTAGAAAAATAATATTTATACGATAATAATTTGATAATAAACTATAATGGGAGTGCAATGCTGTTTGGTTGTAAGACGGCTTAAATGTTTTATATTTGAGTATTAAAAAGTATTATGAACTTTGATAATACTGCACTTCACAAAAACAGAATTATTCAATATTAATGTGAATTTTGCTTTGAAGACAAAAAAAATATACCTAATGACAAACAATAGATATTATGAATATAAAATGATATACAGGTGAGTGAAGCAATAGACAGTGTTCTGACTGCAGAAAGAAAATGTAGGAGTTATAGTGAGCCATCTTTTAACACTCACTTGGCACAGTAGAGAGAGCGCCTTCAAAGTCCTCCGGTTCTCCGTCATCTTCTTCAGCCTACAGGTCCTACAACCTTTCCATCGCCGTCACTGCTCTGGGTCTGCTGCTTTGCTCCAGTGGCAGGCTGTCAAGTTTGTGGAATTTACTAACTCACCTTCAAAGCTCCTCAGTCAGCGCGATAAATATATTATCTCCCGGACTCAGTACTACTAGTACAACTTGTTCAATTAGCTGCCTGTGACTTCAGTAATCATGCTGTGCTCGGCTTTACTCTGCTTCCAATGATGCTGACTGAGTATTTGATTTGATCAGTCGAATGTTGGTGACAAAACAAAGAAGCCAGAGGTGACCTCAGTCACTGTCAGACGTGCAGGTGTGTATTTATGCACTCCACTCTCACCTTTTGGCCAGAGTGGGGACGCACCTTTTCCTGAGAGCAGCCGTGTTTACATAACACTTGAGGATCAGATTGGCTCCCGTGACACTCGGCACTATGTTGGCACAGTTTATTTTGAAAACTCGTTTGCCGCACAGCTTTGGATGTCAAGCTCTCTACATTATATTGAATTTGATTGTATTCACTTTTCATATGAAATCTGTGATTAAAAACACACTAAATCATTTCTCAATGGTTAAATATGAAGCATCTGCACCTTTGAGTGGAGCGTCAACTTAAATCAATCAAGCAACCAGATGGAGGACAGTACATTTATTTTAGCAAGCACTATTTATTATTATATCAAATGTTTTTTTTTATTTAATAAAAAAAGAACAATTACAAAAATAAATATGAGAAAAAAATAAAAAATAAAAAAATAAATCACAGCTTACACATAAAAAGCAAAGTGAAAAGAAGAAAAAACCTTCACAGGTGGATTGTCTAAACTAAAGCAAACTGCAAGTAAATAGAAACAAATATGCAGAAAGGGAACAAAGTGAGTGAGTGCTTTACTCTGTGGCATTGTAATTAATGCAAACATTTTCACTTTTAACATAGAACTCAGGTGATGTGTATAAAATGTCATGAATACACTGAAGGATCTACTTTTTTTTGCCACAAAATCTGTATTTTAACTTGATAAATGCTACAATTCAGAATATGTAACCTCTGTTAAGTCTATAGAATCTTGTATTTGTGAAAACTCCCCTTTCATTAAAATATATGTATAAACCAATATATGTAACAGATTGTAATGATCATATTTTTGTCCAAAAATATCCAGAAAATCTTGACTGTGAATTTTTTTAATCTTTGACAAGCATTGTAACAAACCTTCTGCTAGCCGTGTTACGGTCTGGCCAGTTCAGAGTTCAGATACACCACAGTAGCTGTGATATCATCCCTGTACATTCTAGCTAGGTCCTCGGGCAAGGCGAGCATCGTGGCCAGCCTCTCCTGGCTCAGTCCTCCATACTCTGCAGTGCCCAGAGCGTGTCTGATGAGGTGTGTAGCAGCGTTGGTGTCTAAAGCCGGGGCGGCAAGGGCCTGGCGCTTTAGCAAGAATTCATGCATTTGACCCAATTTCATTTGCCTCTCAGATGGAGAAACAGGAGCCTGATTTAAAAAAAAGAAAAACAAAAGTTTACAGGATAAAGAACCCACGGTGAAAGTTGTGAGCTGTGAATCAGGGACACAACAATACATGTTCGACGAACCTGAAGGTGAATCCCACTCAGGTGCTCTCCAACAAGTCGCACAGCCTCCTCGTTCCCTAGTTCATCCCACAGCCCGTCGGTGCCGAGGATCAGGAAGCGGTCCTGCGGTCTCAGCTTGTGGTGGGTTATCTCGGGTGCCACATCCAGATAAGGTGGAGTTAGGTAGTTAGGTGGAGCGTACTGGTACAGGTTGAGAGAGTCCAGGTCCACTCTAGATTCCAGGCTGGCTAAAATGCTGCGCTGCAACTCAAGGCTCCACTTGAATCTTACGTCACCAAACGCACGCAGTGGCATCAAAATCTGACGGCACCATAAAAGCTTAAGACCAGTGACTTACTTTCTTAAATCAGCAGTTAACTCATTGTACAGTGCCTGTTTAGTGTTATGCCATGAAGAACTCTCACCCCAAGCAGTCTGTCATCTGTGACCACTGTGTCTCTCTCTGAGGGCGGGTGCTGGGTCTTGATCCGCTCCACCTCAGCCTGGTTCTGTGTGTTATGGTCCTGAGAAAGGGGCAAAGCACTCCAAGATCCATCCTCCTCCAGCACCCCCACAACTGCTCTGCAGTCACCGGCATTCGCCACGTGGATCCAGTCTGCGCAAACATGAGCCACACAGGCAGTGCTTCCGGCAAACGCAACCTGGACAGATGATGGTGCGCGTGCATCAACATTGTGTATCCTTGAATAGGCTGAAGCAGCAAAGAAAGGTTTGTGTTGGTACCTGGATGGCTGTGCTTTTGATCAGGTCATTGTAAAAAGGGACCTGAGCCTCCAAGGAGATGTCGGCGTCGAGTCGTTTAAAAGAATAGTCCAGAGCATCCAGAGGACTAGAAAAGGATGCGAGGGAAATCAGAAGGAAAAGAGTTCTGATAAAGGAGCACATGTCTAGGCACATCCATCTACAGAATAGGACAACAATTCCCTATAGGAAAAGTCTTTGTACCTACCTCATGCCTTCACCCTGTTCCTCACTGTCCAGTAACTCTTGCCAGAAGACTCTGAGGTGGTCAATGTAGAGGGAAGCAGATTCCCGATAGTTGAAGTCGGCATGTTGTTTGTACCACTGCAAGATGGGAGGAACAGCTCTGCCATGCTCCATGCATTTCTCAAGCTCCTCCAGGCTCTGCTTCGACATCATTGCGACTGCGGTGTAGGACAGCAGACGGTCACTGACAGCCTGGGCACACGCCCAGCCCCCATGGCCGTCAAACACTCCAAAGAGCATGCCCTTTGACTGGAGAGGATATAGAAAATGAGCTTAAATGTAACAAGAAGGGAGATGGATGAGATTACAGACGCAGAGAGAGAATACGTACCTGTAAGCAGGTGGCTGCACTGCGACGGTCTTCATTGGGTGTGTTAGCAGCCAGCTGGTTGCTCTCAAACCTTCTGACAGCACTGAGTCCCCTGCCATCAAACTCTGGCACACTCACACTCTGAAACAGAGTACACAGAGAAGTACAGAGGTACTCAACCGCAAAGGTATATATACTGTATATGTAAAACTCATATATCATATTAGAATGAAAAAAACTACACATTTTCAACCTATGATGACCTCAGAAACATGATTGTGTTTTCATATCTTTTTTTTGGCAGTTTAATAGACACTATCACACCTGCTCATTAGATCGCAGGATACTGTTGATTTGAACCCGGCTGAGCTGGAAGTCTAGGTTCTGACGAGTCGAGAGGTGCCGCATACTATGAGGCCACTTCCCCGACTCCTCTCCAGTGAGGCACAACGTGTCTGACCTGCAGGGACCCCAGGACGAGGAGTTACATTGGGAGTACTATAAGGGCAAAAAGAGAGCGATGACAACGTTATGATTATAAGCGTGAAACTGAAAGTAAAAGTCAATCGCAGGGTACACACCTGGAGTGGGGCAGTGGGTTTGGAAAGTGTCAATGTGTAGCTTGAAGCTCTTTGAAGTATACTGGCGCACACACGTCCAGACATCTCTGAAGAGGCAACGCGTTGTTCAACTTATTCACCCCAAAATCTATGTAGAGAAAAGAATGAAACTTATAAGGGTTATGATACCAGCACGTTTGTGTTGAAGACGCTTGACAATCAATGAGCTACCGTAAACATATAGCAAGTTATGCTAAAATGAACACACTGTGCTATAACGTTAGACCAATACCGAGCAGTACGACGTCACCTCTCGTTAGTATATGTGCAAGCTAGCTAACGTTTGATACAAATACTTTAACAACAGACAGCCTTAAAACGTAAAGTTAGCTTGCTTGCTGGCTAGCTTCATTAACGTTTACCATATGAAGCGACGGATTTTACACCAACACCTATGCTTGATCTAAACAGACACACATTGATTTGGTACATACGTTAAGTATACTAAATAAACACTTGATTGATTGATTAAATACGTACAAAGTTAGTAAAAGTACACATGAATCGATGTCGATCGTCAGAACTCCATAGATGACGGCGACGTGCCACAACGTCTGACGTCAGACGCACTGTTGTAGTACTGGCTGGTCGCTTAAAATAGACGATCTTTGTTTGAGACTATTTTATAGTTTGGGGATACTTAGGGAACATTGCCAGGTGACAGCTAGGTGTTTGTTTTGCATCTATCTGGTAACAGTCATAAAGGTGTGGCAACATGACACACTGCCAAATCACAGTGTGTAATCAGAACATGGACTGTATATACACAGAAGATTTACAGTCGATAAATCGTACAAACACTATTTCAAGTGTATCAGTTCGAAGCCACGCCCACCTGTCAAACTTCGTGGTCGTGTCAGTTAGTTCTGTCTGTCAATATGGCTCACGTTAATATGTTGTTACCTTAATTTACCCTAACTTTTGTAAGGTGAAAAGTGGCAATTAACTAACTCTAATTTTAAGTTTTGACATAATAGCTTGATGAAAAAAATGAACTTTTAAAAAACGGCCCAAATTTAACGTTAGCTTGAATGTTTGAATTGTGTTAGCAACGTTAGCTAACGTTGGCTAGCGAGTTCTGTAAGTAGCATTTTGGTGACAATAGCACATTTAGACATTTAAAGAGAGAAATGGATAACACAGGGGTTTGCAGCAAAAGCCGTAATAGTAAGTGACGCTAACTGTGAAAATGTAGTTTTGCTTATGTATTTGTAGATGTGCGTTGCTAATGTAACATGATATATTTACAAATGTAACTCATGTCTGGTTAACATGACCTTGTTGATTTCATCTTTCTGTGTTCAGCCATAAAGACAGATCTCACTTTGCTGCTCGAGTGTCTGAAGTTTCAGATGAAATGTCCCGATTTGCAGAAACAAGCTCTTCTCACCATTCACTCAATCTGTGAAAGGAGAGGTAACAGTGAACCACCAGTGACCAGACATTCAATGTCCTCTCTTCTAACCATCTACACACACTAACCATCTCCTACAGCTCTATTCAACATTCATATGTGTTGTTGGACAAACACATGCTAATCATTTATCTCTGAATCTTCAGCATAACACCTTGACATCTTTCCATCTTCTGTTTCATTTTCATTATTTCAGAGGATAATGTGGACCTGCTGAGGGAAATGGGAGGTGTGTCATTTGTGTATAACCTCTCCAAATCCAGCATTGTTCGCTCAGATGTCAAGGAGACTGCACTCTTTACGCTAGGCACGTTAGCAGAGGCCAATGGTAAGCGTGTGTGCGTGCGTGTGTGTGTGTGTGTGTGTGTGTGTGTGTGTGAGATAGTTGCTGAATCCCCATTCAGGGACTCGTCTGGTGAAGGATGCAGTCCAAAAAGCTGTGTCTTTTGCAGCAGTTGAAGCTTAGGATGAATGTGCGTGTCCTTCCCAAATGAGACAGCACACACGGGATGCATTTAGGTAGTCTTAGTCATCTTGTAAAGTTCAAAATCCCCCAGTTTACAGGCAGGAAGTTGCTCTTAAACAGCTGACTACGTGCTAAATAATAGGTCCTGGCAAACACTTTCTGTAGATTATGGGAAACTAAAAGCTGCAAAGGACACAGATAAGATAGCTTTGTCACCACGTCATGACATAGTCAGAGGCTGTGGTCCTGGATTGAGATACAGCATATGTGTATTTTATACAACAAGCCCGATGTACTGTCCTATGAATACAATATCACTGTGTTGGTATAATGTGGTATCTTCAAATGCAAGTCAGTTACAGGAAATTACCTTTTTTTTTTCCCTCTGGTAGTGTATTGCAAGAATTATCTCTGCAGGAAGGAGACATTTGCAGACCTTGCTGGTTTGCTGCTGAAAGAAGACATCCCGCTGACACAGAAGAGAGTGTCTGTGTACTTGCTGTCTGTGTTGGTCGCCAACAATAGTAAGACCACGGAGGAGTTAAAGCTACAGGATTGGTTGTCCCGTTTAGTTGCAATGTTTTCTGACGTGACTTTTTCTTTGATTTGGTTTCGTTCAAGCTCATGAAAAGCTATTTCATATGTTTGGAACTAAATGTAGAGCAGTTTCTGTAGGTCTCATGTGTCTCATGTGTTACTGCAGAATCAGGACAGACTTTAGGCCAAACTACTGGCTGCCTGGATATCCTACTGGACCTCTTCAGGTACTTTGCCATCCTCAGTCATACTGAAAATTGTGTTTTCAAAACCCACTCATATAAGCACCTACATATATACGTTTAATCGTATACATTTCTGCAGGACCACTTCCCCTCTGTCTACAGAGGCTACCGTGAGAGCAGCTAATGCTACTCAAACCTACCAGCTTTGGGCATCTGTGTCCAGTGCTCTCTGTGGATGTGTCAACAACCCTCAAAATGGTAACGTCATCTGTTTATTTGTGCCTTGTGCTAACTCATTTAGTATGTAAAACATTGATGCGCTTGCCATCCAGGCGACTACTTTTAAGTCAAAACCATGGGATACCACATTAAGTTCATATCTGGAGTCAGAGAAAGAAATGTTTTTGCTCAACTGTGTCTTGTCTTCCAGAGGAGGGTCAGCGTATTTGTGTGGCAGCCTTTGCCGTGATAAAAGTCTGGCTTCAGCAGATCGATTTGACACGCACTGACATTTTTCAACCCATGTGTTCCTTCATAGCAATGACGGTTTCCAACAACTGTAAGTGGAAGGGACAGAATGGCTCGTGCTTAGCCTGTGATTTTTTGATCTTAAGTTACATTAAAATTCAAATGCTTAAATGTGAATCACTTCTTTGTTTTTTTGCAGCCTGTGTTCAGGAGAGTTTCTCTGCCTCCGGGTGTCTGGATACTCTCGCTCTTGCACTGGTTCGTCTAGCTTCAGCAGCAGATACAAGCTTGATGTCGTGCCAGCTCTCTGTCACTGTATCCAAGACCCTGTCAGCTTGCATCACAGAAAACTGTGCGTATCACTCTCACACCCACACACATGCGCACATCTGGACACTTCACTTAAGCAACCAAAGTGTCTCATTCTCCATTCACAATGTATTCTTTCTAGCTTCTCTGGCTTCGGGTCTTTCTCAGTATGGTGTGGTTTCCCACCTCTTCTCCCTGCTGGCTAGCCCACACTTGGACCCTGAGGACAGGCTCTCTGTTTTACTCACTCTGGGCCACTGCACTCAGGCCTCTGGTAAGACTGCACAGTAGTACAACTTGAGTATTTATGCTATCTATGTCTTTTTCTTAAATGTCTTTTTTTCCTTCCTGCCTGTAGAGGAGCACCAGTCCCAGTTGGTGCAGTGTGGAGGCCTGCCCCTCATCATCACCCTACTCACAGAAGATACAAGTGAGGAGGTTCGCAAGGCTGCTACATTCATACTGCAGACCTGCAAACAGGCCAGTAAGTCACAAAGTTCAGTACTGTTCGGTACTCAGTGAGTAATTCAGGAGCGTCAGTGTCACCAAAAGTATCCACTTCCTTTTTACATTTATTTCTATATTGGGCATGTGTGAATTTAACTTCGGAAACCGAATCATTTATAGCGGAAACTCCTGATCCAGAGTGCGAATATAAAAATGAATAAATAGAAGATGCAATTGAAGAATACGAGGGTAGAATATGGAGTTATAATGCCTTGCTTGTCGTTGTTTGTGAAGCCATGTCCCTGGAAGTGCCTGGTCAGACAGTGAGACAGGGGGAGGGGGAAAATGTGGACTCCATTACGAACATGGAAGGCTTCAGGGGCTCAGCCAGAGAGTTGCTGCGCAGGATTGACCTGCTGGAGAAGAGACAGGGAAAGGTCAGATATACACTCACACACACACACACACACACACACACACACACACACGTGGCCATAGTGTAATCAGCATGAAGAGCAGTGAATCGTGATGTGTGCTTATGTCCATCTTTAGGAGGCTGAGGATGAGCAGGAAGACACAGAGCCATTAACTTCAAGTGAAGGTCTCGGCCAACCGCCTCTGCCTCTGCAGCAGAAGGAGAGCATGAAAACCGTCCCCGCCGCATACAGACAGAGCAGCACTCGCAAGAATGTAGAAGCAGGGGGTGAACACAACAGTCAGCTTCAAACTGCAAGGAATGTGGTCAAGAGTAAGGATGACAGTGAACTGAAGCAAGTGAGCTCCCATTTAAGTATGCAGAGAGAGAAGGCTGGAAGCAGTGGAGGGTCTGTGTGGTGTTTGGTGTGCAACGGTACTGGAGCCCTAATGTCCTCCCATCCGCAGTCACTAGAGGGAGGCAGAGAGCCGCGTACAGCAGACGAGTCAGTAGACTTCCTCACTGTTGATTACGTCTTAATAATGAAATGAGAGCTTTCATTGTTTCTTTCTCTTCTGTCTTTTTGTTCAGATGGTTGTTTAAGCCCCCAGCATCAGTGAGGCCCAGTGCAGCAGAAGAGATCAAGTGTTCTGATGAAGAAGGTGAGAGTCACAGCTTCATACCTTTTAACACACTTCTTTGCTTTTGCTTTTGTTTTGAGTAGATGTGCAAGTTTTCTCATGTTTTTTCCATTCAAGTAGTGTGCTTTTATTTTTTTAGAGTTGCAGGACTGTGAGAGGAGCATGGTGGGGAAAAGCCGAGTGGAGGAACACTCACTGTCTCGTATCCGGTGTGCAGGTGGGAGAACTCACTGTATTTATTATTTTCAACTTTTAAGGGATTGTTCAGTTAGATTATTGCAAAGCCAGCCCCGGACTTTCCGCTGAATACCTTCTCTCCTCTAGGTTGTGTGTTGCCGTTTGAGGAGGTGACCAGTCGCACTTTTGCGTCGCTGCAAAGCTCCTGCCACCACAGCTGTGACATGCACACGGTGCTCCGGGAGGCCACGGAGCGGTTCAGGACTCGTCACTGCAACCTTCTGCTCAGGAGAGAGAACCACGTGGACGCCGAGCGGGCAAACCCAGACCATGAGAGGGCTTCAGCTGCAGAGCCACAGAGAAGCTGGGGAAACTGGAGGGGTAAGGACATCTTCATGGACGGTCTCTCACTAATCACTAATCACTATAACCGGGTCAGGCTATCATTGGCTAACCTGCGGCTGCAACATGGGCTGAATATTACTGCATTTGGCAAGAATATATTATAACATTTCAGACTTTGTCCCGAATATAGTACGCTGCATAATAGGTGCACTGGATTATGGGTGTTGTGCATGCTTTCATTGCTGACAGCGGTATTTGTAAAATATGTCGACAAGTAAACATCTCCTTCATCAAAGAGCATAGCTCAGTCAAGATAGTAAACATGCCTCATGCATGTTGCTGCTGTTCCATTTCCCCTTGTCCATTACTTCATAACCTTGACTTTAGTATTCTCAGTATGAAACGCATATTGTTGTCTTTAACTGCTGCTATAACATGATTTCTACTCCGCTGTAAAAGAGGTCTGCCTGACTCCCAGACGTAAAGAAGCAGGGAAAGGCCAGAGCTCCCTGCCGGAACATCACAGGAAGAAGCACAGTGGTAAGAACTATGAACGTGTCTCCATACATCAAATCAACTGCAAATCAGTAAACAACATTTAGTTGTTGGCCACTGAACTAACATACATGTACAATAATCTTTAGCTGTTTAATTCTTCTTCTTCCATCATAGGCATCGCTTTGACTCCACTGCGTAGAGGAGCTAAAGAGGGGACATTGACCCCTCATAACACGACCGGTATGTATGTGACATAATCATAGACGACATATAATGTATTCTTGTCCTTTCTATTGGTCATGTTTAACAGCATTGCTCTCATTGCGCCTCCTCTCGGGTCCAGGCTTAATTCCCCTGAGAAGATGTGATCTTCCTGCAGGTAGATGTGTGCTCTCAGATACGGGTGTTTACAGTAGATTACTGTAAGTGGGTGTGTGTGTGTGTGTGTGTGTGTGTGTGTGTGCGCGTGTGAATGTTATGATTGAGAGCCTTTGGTGGGAGCTGTCTCTCCGTAGTGTGTTCTTGGCAACAGACGAACCGAAGAGCAGAAGGAATGTTGAACTGCAGCCAGTGTTCTCACAGTGCAGGCCAGAGCTGGTTCAGAGCAGCACAACTGTATGGAGCTGTTTCACACTCTGTGTGTGTGTGTGTGTGTGTGCGTGTGTGTGTGTGCGTGTGTGCGTGTGCGTGCGTGTGTGCGTGTGCGTGCGTGCATGACAGAGAGAGACACAGAGAGAGAGAGAGAGAGGCTGTTTTCTGATGCTTTTGTATTAAGCCAGTGGTGTTGAAAGAAGTTTTAGTCTGTCCCACATTATGATTTTGCATGCTCTGTACTTGCATTACATTCATTATACTGTAAAACAAAAAAGTATATATTTATTCATTTTGTGGCTTTATATGCCGTCAATCCCCTTTTTTCTCCCCCTGCTTTCCAATTTTGCCGATTCTCTTGCTTTAAGTCAGACTTTCTACATGCTGACATTTACTGTGTCTTTATACCGCTCAGACAAATGCATTTTCAAATGCTCACTTTGTGTGAGTGCACACCTAGAACAGGTTTTTCTTCCATTGCACAGCTCACCTTTTCATTCTGTCTCCAAACCCTTCAGCTGTTTTTTTACATCTCTGTCTTCTTTCCTGTTAAACTCTTTACTGTCTTGATTTCTTCTGTTCTCTTGCCTACTTCATCGATCGTTCTTCTCCTCCTGCATTGCTGTTTTTTTACGTCAGTGCAGCTGTAATAGTCATAACTGGTGACGTAAAATGTCACGTATGAGGAGTAGTGCAAGAGAGAGAAAGCGTTGTCTTATCTTTATATTTGACATCCTCACAGTGTTTTCCACACGTACTCACGCACAGACTGTTTTATGTTGCACACACAGAGAGAAGAGGAGGGATTCAAAGTGGACGTCACACTGCTGATGATGAGCCGAGGACGAGCACGGAGCACTGTTCCACTGTGAGAGTCTGAAAGAATATGTATATATTGATATCTATACGGCCCGCCAGGTTTTTCCAACTGCTGTTCAATGCTGTGGTTGTATGCTGTAGTTCATTGAAGCGTACGGTAAACATGTGCTGGGATTGTTGAGGAGTTGATGATGAGCAGGGTCTTACAACACAGACGTCGGAGCGTCCCTGAACACATCAGCGGGAGGACTTTCAAAACACTTCTTGCAACTACATAACCATGCGATTATTATAATTCCTGATGACACAACATCTTACTTCAAGTCTCAACAAGGTGATTTTCACAGGGTACTGAAATAGGTTGAGACTAATGGAGGGTGGGGAAATGAATTTAAAACTGTAGGATATTGCGGAATGGTTGCGAGTCATTTAAACAATGTGTTGATAATGTGCAAAGCCACCAGTATGTAACATTAGTCACTAGTCACTCAGGCATTTAGCAGATGCTTTTAATCAGGAATAAACTAACATTAATCCACACTCTCCTGTGCATCTGACACATTGTCCAATGTTTAATCAAAGTTGTGCCTCCTCTGCTGTCCTTCTAACTACCAGAGGAGGAGGAGGAGGACAGACTTCAGCAGGGAGGAGGTGCGTTACCTACTGTGCGGTGTGAAGACTTTGGGTTTCTCCTGGAACTCCATCCTGTGGTCGTACCCCTTCCTACCTGGACGCACCAATGTTGACCTGGCCAAGAAATACAGGCGGCTAATGGTAACAGGAGAAAGTCTGCCCTAAGTGAGACATTTGATATTTTCCATTAGAAATGTCAAATTGCATTTAAGTTCGCTGCAGAAAGGGGAAGTCTTCTGAGATCCTGGGCCAGCCGATGAATTAATGCCTCCTGTTAGTAATAGCTTTGACTTTCTTCACACTGTATTTATTGGAAATAATCCAAATAAGCGTTTACCTAATATATTAACATAGTGTACTCTCAGTATTTATTAAGATTTTTAGTACTTTGTATATGGTGGTCCTACTTTGCACTGTTTTTAAAATAGTTTGTGCAGCTTTTTCAGTTCTTTGAAACATGTTAATTGTTTTGTTATATGTTAAAACATTAAAACAAGTGTTTGAGATTCTTACATTTCTCTGTCAGCATCTTCTCTGTCAAATACGCATTTGTATTTGATCTTGTTAGGACGCATTGTGCTATATTTGGAGTGAACATGATGAAAAACCTTTGAAGGGCCATGTTAACATCCTTGTTGTGTTGCACTATCACCTGTTGATGAGTTAGCACCACTGTGTTGCCACATGTACGTCTGCCAGATTTGATTGCAACAGCACAACGTGCCGATGAGTCGTGGCATGAAAAGACCCAGCCCTAAACACTGTAACATATAACATGTCCACCAAAACGTTCAGTTTGGATAATATTGGAACTTAATTGAAAGAAGTTTTTTTGATATGATTTGACCCAAGCAATCTTGTCAATTTGAGCAGAACAGCAAGTGTCAGTTGTGTATTGCACCACTATTTTGGTTATACATAAGGAAGACAAGAGGAATGCAAAGAGGAAGCAATAATTGCTGCACTTCTGCTTCGACCCTTTAAAAAAAACAGATATATATTATATATGTGTTACTTCCTTTACACACGGTGTCACGGAAGCAAAGAACAAGGTCAGTTTACTTTGATTCATGCTTTTGCCATTGAAGTCCATAGCGAGGCAAGCAATCATCAAGGAGTGGGAGAGACTCCAGCACTTTGGTGTATTGAGCTGAAAGCCTCTGGTATGACAGGAATCACAAATCAGACTGTTTATCAAGTCTGAGTGCCTCTCCCTCTCTGTGGGGACTCATCGTTGTGTTGCCAAAACCATGGGGCTTGCCATGCCCCGAGGTGGAGGCTGCTTAGAGTTAGGTGTGGTTGGACAAAAGCATATTATGGATTATGAAACGGCAGACTGCATTGATGCACAATGATAGTCTTGATATAGAAGAATTATTGTAATTTAAATTGAGCAGCTCCGTGTTGTACATCTCGACGACGCCGCAGAGTAGTTCTTCCTTCCGTCGGTCAAATTGGCAAAATTTCATTTTTCAGCAGGATGAAGTGGCCTCTCGTACCGATCCACTGGGGCCAAGATGTTCAAACAGCATGCAGTGAGAGAGGAGGAGGGGGGGATGTGAAGAGCAGATTTCTCATGGACTGAAACAGTCACACTGAAGACTTTTGACCCTGGCCACCCGAAAACCTCCTTCCTCTGGAAAGAATGTGCCCCCCCCCCCCCAATCCTCCCTCCCCTCTCACCCACCAGACTGCGAGGAGGCTCCGTCTCTACATGTTCTGATCCGTGCGAGCTGGAATTCGATTTCCATATGTACGCCATGTCCCGTACACGTGTGTGTTACAAAACACCCTCTGTGACGGAGAAAGCTCAGATTGTTCCAATGTGTGCGTTTAGCAGATCCAGCCACTCTTTAGGCCAACAAAGCCACGACGAGCCCACAGTTACTGAAGCTGCTGTGGCCTCGCAGCTAATGTGTGTTAAGTAAAAACACATCCGAAGTCCCTTCCCGTAACCTACGACATAACATACCTTCTAGTTTAAAATAAATCAGTGACGATGGCCATAACACACGTCGAATAATATTTTTATTTTCACAAAAGAAGTCACTACTTAGGTTAAAAAAAAAAAAATCCTGTTGAATACAAGAAAGATACAGAATTTTACAAAGTCCAAAGATGATTATGTTAAGGCATAAATGTTTACTAGACACTTGTACCCTGATAGTACTGTCTCCATCTTGGTTGCATTGCTACTGTCCCTTGCCCATGGTTTTGCAGTCACCTATGGAGTGCTGCACACTCACACTATCCACCTCACAGAGCTTTTCCCTTTGTCCTCGGTCAACATCTAAATTCTTCCCTTCAACCTTTTTTTCCTGTAAGGCATTATTGTATAACAATGGCTTCTTTTTCTCTTAAAGAAATTCATTTAAATTCATGCTCGGTGAATTTGCATAGAGGAAGAGCTCCGTTGTCCAGTAATACACTCAAGTACACTCATAACCCCCTGTGCCGCTAAAGCCCCACCAACACACCCTTTGGCACATTTTCGTTCATTTTGACAGAAATTAAATGTTTGCCTTTATTAGGCCACTTAAGCGAGGAAAAAAAACAAAAAAAACATTGCATCTTTCAGAATTCATGTAAGGAGTTAAGAGGGTTTCACAGAACAACTATCCATTCACTTCTTAAATGAATCATCTGCCGTGGTTTCACATCTGCTCAGTCATAGGTCACTGATAAGGTCATTCATTATCTTTCAGCACCATGTCCTGCAGCAGTCCACTAATATTTTCCTGGCTGAAGTCACTCACGAGCTGCTCCAAATCCCCTGCAGCCTCCACCGCTGTCGGGTTTTCCGCAGACGCTGACGTCTCCTCGCTCTTTTCGGCCTCGAATGTGGGAATCACAGAAATCTCAGCGCTGACTTGGCATTCTTCGGTCGCCGGCATGTCTTCTGCATCGACCGGGGCGGTGACTGGAGGAATGTCAATAGGTTGGGGACTTTCGTCAGGGACTGAACAAATCATTACCTCAGGGAGAGACTCTTGGCTAAGCAGGTCCGTCTTCTGCTCCATAGCCTCAGCTGGTACCGACTCTGAAATCGGTTCAGGGACTGCCTCAACTTCTGCCTCCGGTTCGGGAACTGGCTCGGGTTCAGGAACTGGTTCCTGTTCGGAAACAGGCTCGGGTTCAGGAACTGGTTCCTGTTCGGAAACAGGCTCGGATTCAGGAACAGGCTCGGGAACAAGCTTGGGTTCAGGAATTGGCTCTTGAGCTGGTTCTGGAGCAAGCTGAGCTTCAGCAACAGGTTTTGGCTCAGCAACAGGTTCCGATTCTGGAGCTGATGATTGGCAGTCTGAGAACAGAGGCTCGGTTTGGACTGGAGCTGGAGCGTCCTTTACCACAGGCTCTGGGTCAGCATCAGGAACCTGCTCCTCTTTACTCTTCAACACTAATTGTTCGGTGCCGGAACACGCCAATTGTGTCACTTGCTCCTGAATCCCCACATCCAGCTTCTGCTTTTCAGTGGTCTGCGTGATCCCAGAATCCTCTGCTGGTGGTGCAGTTGCTGTTTCTGCTGCAGCAGTTTCAGCACTGCTGGCCAGGACGTCTCGCCCTCTGCTGAACCGGTTTCCCATGATGAACCTGTACAGAGACAATGAAAAGAGTTACGAAATGTCAAATTATATTCTGCAAGTGGTTCCAAAAACCAAAAGTCTAACTTTTATTTTGCTCAATATTAACATAACCTTTGCTGATATTCTATTCTAAAAAGGTGGAGATTTTCTTCCCATTTCATAAACAAGCAATTGATCAAGGGAACAAACCCACAAAAACCAAAGAGAGAAACTCGTTTCTACTGAGGATCCACTGAACTGGTTGAGTGAAACATATCCCAGTGTGCGCGTTATACGGTACATTGTGTTCTCTTGTACCTTTCCGGGGCTGCATGTACAACGTGTACCATATGCGTCCGGATTTGAGCGTGTCTACAGGGAATGTTTCTGGTGTGCCACAGGAGCACTTTAATCATGTATTTGATTGCATCTTTCTTGCGTGCTTTGCACTGCACGCCACCCCTTAAGCTCTTATATTTAAATAAAATCTGCACGTTTAAACGCGCACTGAAAACGTTTTCCAACTACGATCACGTAACAGCACCCGTGTCAGGAACATTACAGGTCATGATTTCCATTTGTTTTTGCATTTTTTAATTATTCTCTAAAAACAACCACACCTTGATCCAGTTGTGCTTCCTACCGGAACCATGGATCCGCATTACCGCAGTTCAAACTCTTAATATAGGCCTCATGACATGACAGATATCCATCTCAGAATTATTATCAACACGAACAACATCAGTGCGCCAATTGCCATTAATTGTTGGTCAAAGCAAAAAGGAACAAAGAAACCCTTGCAGACGACCCCGCCTCCCTCGTGCTGAACAAACTTAAAATCCATCCAAAACGAACAGAAGCATAAACAGCTCCGGCAACAACACCGAGTAAGAACCGGGAACCAACCTTGTGAACCGTTTTCCGTTGCAGTAAAAGTAGATTTAGTCGCAGATGATCCCGCACTCCCAACTTGGAGAAGATCGCACGTCAAGCTGCCTTTCGTCGCGCGCACCAGCAGAGCAGACTCCTCCAAACGCTGCCGCGCACCGTGCGCGTCCACGATTTATATGCGCGTTCCGTACACCAAACCCACGGCTGCTGCACACTTGCCCAGCCAGTAAGTAGCCTAAACAACACTAGATTAAACTGCTAATGTGTCTTTACTCAATCCTCTTTAATACCCATGAACCCGTGTTTATTCCTGGTAAACCGACCACACCTGTGTCATGTTTCAGCCTGATCTCTGTGTTTCAAAAGGCTCACCACTAGATCATGTTTAAATAGGGTCTCAAGAGCTTCTTAAGCCGTCAGTGTTGGCCACAGTCCATTTTATGTACATGTATTGCGATTACAGATGAGGAAGCTGATCAGCAGGTTGAATATTAAATCCTTTATTTCTGTAGCTCACAAGTGTGTTATGCTGAGAAGTTGACGATTAATCTTTCTTTTTCTGACTATAAAAGCACCACTCTTATGATTGTTTTTTCCAAATGATCAAGTGTCTGTATTGATTTCTGTCAACAGGAATATTTAATCTTCAGGTCAGGCCACGTAAGGCTTAAGCTGCTTTCTGTTATGGCGGTTCTGTCTGTGAGGAGACCTGGGCTCTCTATTTGGATTTCTGTGTTCTGCAACACCGGTACGGGAGACCTGTCAGTGGAAATGAATCTGAGATTCAAAAAAAATGAACATCCTCGCCACAGTGGTTACTCTGGGTTTGTACATTCCTGTTGTGCTTGTGGCCTTTGACAGAGCAGCCCTCCGGTTTAGCATGGCCTGCATGAAGCCGACTCATCCTGACCTGGCATTATAGGTGTTTTGCTACTCTTATCAGTCGTATGTGAACTGGGAACACATGACCATCTGGTTCTATTTATGTGTGCACGTGCAAGTAGAGCTGGTTATTATAACTGTGCTGACCTGTGTGAAAGAGGGGAGAGAGGAGAAGAAGTCCGCCTTGTTAAACTTTAATTATGAAGCCAAAGTGCTTGACTAAGGTATAATCAAAACAGTGTTGTTGTTTTTTTACAATGAGAATTAAACTATTTTGTTTCATGTCAGGTTTTCACTGAATGCCTTCAGGCATATGCTGCTGAGTCTTATGACACATTTTGTGATGAACCTGTTACCCTTCCTTTTAACGGAGCGTACTGCATTGCTTTTGTGTGTACTATTTTAATTTGAGACAAACTGGTTTGTGAAAGTGATGGCTAAGTGCGCAATTAAATATCTCACAAAAATAAATCGAAATCAGAAATACTTAATTGATCCCTGCGGGGTAATAGCTGGTACAGTACAATAAAAACAATACATCTTTATTGTCGACCAGGGTGGAAATTAGTCTTAGGCTCATCAAACACAAGACAAGACAACGACAGCACAGTAAAACACATTAAAACACTTCAACTAAGTGTTTGTGTGTTTCATACTCCGTCACATTACTGAGATAAGGGTATTGATGGCACATAGGATGAAAACTAATGTGTACACTGTTTCTAAAATCTGTGGACAAACACTGAGACCACTAAGTTCCCTCAGAAGATAAAGTCGCTGTGAGCATCTCTTGAAAGTATACACTGAATTATCAGAGAAGCTCATCTGGGAGTCCAGAACAGTAGCAAAGTCTTTAAAGTGTTCCACAGTTTTCACCGAAACAGGGTTTTCGATGCTGTATGCTGAAGTTCATCATCACGTAAAGAAGATTTCTCTCACAAGCCGTAAGGCGTCGTCATCCTCCTCTGCTGGCATCTGTGAGTGCTCCTCTTTTTCCTCAATCTTCCCAAGACCACCGCGGTGCTGTTCTGGTCCTGACCTCTGACCCTCAGGTGCCCGATGCTGCGGGCTGTTAGTGTACGCCACTGTTTCCAACTCTGTGACGTCCACGTCTTTTTCTGAAACATACGTCGTCTCCAGGGCATCATCACCGCAGTCTGAGGACTCCTCCTCTAAAGTCACCAGCTTTGCTATCTTCTTTGAAGAGGCAGAGTTCCCCCTCACCTTCACAGTGGTGGCTGCTGCCTTGTCTTCAACCTGTGTGTGTGTGTGTGTGTGTGTGTGTGTGTGGGGGGGGGGTGAAACACATTTTACACAGTGCTTCAGGGAACATCTTGCATTTTACATACACTATGAAAAATGGTGTGAGATATGATTTAAGTGTTCTACATGCAGGTACAGTGTTGAGTGGACAACATATGTTTGGCATATAGAAAGTAAAAAGCCCGTACTAGGATCCCAACATTTTCATATATATAATGCATTTAATTTACACTCCTTTGTTTTATTTACATAATCTCAACATCCTGTAATAATATCGGCGTGTTTTCATTTTGACATTTTAAATGATTTGATCAACAACTGGGTCTTTTCTAGCATTCTCCTCCCCCAAATCTCAAAAAAATGAAGAAAAGAGAGAAGCAGCGCCACCTTCAGGTCAGTGGGGAGAGCCACGTCCTCGCACGCACCGTGGGTGAGATGTGAAACAGCTGCCTCCACCAGCTCTTTCTCGTTCATACAGTAGAAAGCAGCACTGAAAACACAACCGTGCATATGCGTCAGTCAAAATGGCGTAATAAACCTTTAACTCAAGTATAAAACCGAGGCTTTGCCTCGTTTGTTTTGTTTTCGTCAACTACCGTTCAGTTTTCCGTTTTCTCCCGCTCCTCAGCGGCTCCTTCTCTTTCACCTTCTCTTCCTTCTTCTCCATCCATGACGGCAGCGCCCGGTGCCTCTCTGACATGTTGGCGCGGTGTTACACAAGTGTATTGTTGGCTTGCATCTGCACGAAGGCTGCTGAGGTATCGCCGGTATAATTGGAAACAGGAACGAAGGGGTTTCCAGCGGGGCTAAAGTCACGTGATCACAATGGCTGACTGAGTCTTCAGCGCCACTTAGCGGACAAACAGCTCAATGCGCCACTAAAAGAAAACACCGTCCTTTGTTACGATTACTATTCTGTACATTTGATGAGTATGCTGTGTCACACTAGTTTCTATTATTAGTATATTAGGAGGCAGTAAAGCTCTGCAGTGTTTTTGAAAATTCATTGTGTTTAATTTGTTGATTATTGTCAATGTTTTGCATGTCGCCTGACTGAGTCTGCTGGTAACTAAAGCTAAATAAACACAGTGCTGCAAAAACAAAAGTCCCTCTCAAATGTAGAGGAGTAGCAGAATGCGTAATATAAAATGTGAATACTAGTCGACAAGTAGGCTACCCCAAAACAGTTGTATAATTATGTACACTATTGACTTAAAGTAGTTAGTGACAGCCACTGGAACTCTACACAAAACTCTTTAATCAAAACTTTTCAAATGTGCCCCCCCTCTCCCGCTCTGTCTATTCTCATTCACTTCCATCTCAACACACACACACACACACACACACTATACAGTTTATCGTTGTTGGAATTAATCAGGGTTGCAGTGGCGCGCTGTATAAATGAAACTTGCAAAGTCTCTCACCCTGGCCTTTCTGTTCCGTTGTTTCATCATCAACACCCCTTTTTGTATTTTTTTTTTACTTCCATTTTCAATAACAGTAATTGTATTATGATAATAGTTGTTTTGTGGCTTTTCAAAAAAAATTGTAATGCATTCTGGGTGGTATGTCTGGAAAATGACATAGCTAAGCACGATGGCTTCTAGCCCTGTGTGTCTTATTCTTACTGGCCAACAGCCGATAATCCATGCTAGTCTAGTCGCATGACACATTTCCCCCTCTTTTCTCCTCCCTCTGTCCTTTTCTCACCCTCTTTCACTCTCTGATGTGCCAAACAACCTTGATCAGACTCACACCTTCTGTCACTTTGTTTCAAAGCTGCCTTCTCCCACTCGGGCCTTTTAATTATGTCTCTAAAGCTCCTTCCTAAGTGCTTAGGCCTTGATTGCAAAGACCAGCTTTGTATATTTGACTAAATTAAAAAGTGGGGAAAAAGGGAGGGGGGGAAAAAACCCTCAAGGCAAAGAACATGTTTACAGCCAGATGCACGCACAATGTCATTTTCGCTAAAGCTCTCAAGTTCAGTGCATTTTAGGAACGACAAGTAATCAGAGGGCTGAACTGGTATCAAATGAAAAAAAAATCCTCAAAATCTTCCACCATATTATTATTCCTATTTTCAACAGATGTCAACAGATGCACTTTGGGAAAATAACTTTATTACTGACCTACATTTTGTCATTCATACAGTGGATTTCTTTTTTTATGTAAAGCCACTGGAATATAGAAAACTTTCAACACGCTCAAACTGATTATTTGACCAGAACTAACTGGTTTCCAGTGAAACCAGTTAGTTAGATCCCTTTTAGGGTCCAGACAGCTCTCAATGCTATCCATATTGTTTTTCACCAGACACCAAAATGAAAAGAAAACAAAATGTCGAACTCATCATCACTATTAACTCATTACCATCATTGTTAAAATGATTAAAAAGAAAAATGAAAAATGATTCAAACATTGAAAACATGAAGAACCTACAGTGGCATTGAACTCATCCTCCTCCAGGCTTGCTGCCACGTCCACAGATCAGGCCGTGCTAAGAAGATTTCTTTTTGCTGATGGAGTAAAGCTTGTCACTGCTTTACTTGCTGCTGAATTTGTGGGTCGAACATGGCCAAAATGTCTGCTGAACGTACTGACACGAGAGCAGCAGCACTGGGGTTTTGGTTTGACATTGGTTCAATGGTAGTATTTGTATAAGATGAATATTGTAATGGGCCTAATTTCTTATAATGTTTAGAATTGCAGAACACTCTGGTCCATAATTACACTATGAGTACATTTTGCATGGAGCATGGTCTGCATGTTTTTGTTTGATGAGAAGCTATTGTGTAGAAAACACAAGTTGGATTGGTCATAAACAACTGAATCAGAAAAGTTCAATGAGTAGTTTTAACTTAATCTATATCTCCTCTCACTTTCCACTGCCTCTTCTTCACGTTGTTCCTGCTCTGAGGGTCCTAATTGGTGAGAACCAGACTAATCTTCTAGTTGTGTTCTTAGGCTTAACCCTGCTTTGAGTAAAGGTCATTACCATTGGCCATCTGTCCTAGAAATGCTTGTTGTGATTGGCCATATGGCATTAGAGAGCAAGATTTAGGAAAGGCAGAATCTTTAAATTGAATGAAGATATTCCACTGGTCCCGAAGGGAATGATGTCGGGAGAGACATGACATCATCTCATTATGTCAACCAGGATCATATTAGTGCATGTGTGTGCACGCTTACAAGTGCACATGTGTGTTCACAGATGCAGACTTTGTTGTAAATTCAAATTAAATCTGAGGAAGAGCCTGGGGCTCAAACGTTAAACAGCAATAAAAATCATTCTTGGTGCGGGAGCTATTTGGTATGCGGATCTGTTCTAACTCTGTAAATTCAAGTAAATTCTTCTCTCTTGTAGCAACACACAAAGGACACAAACAACTTCAAAAGTCTGAGTTCAGACACACACAGTCTGACACCAGAGGAAAAGAGGAAGTCATTATTACCTTTAAGGGTCTTTTAGCTCCAATTTGCCACATGGGAGCCTATTATTCCCAGTATGAACCCCCAGTTCAAAGAGAAAGCAGAGCACAATCTGTCAGCACTCTTTCAGTGTGCTTATGTTGACTGTTGATGTGCATAAATGTGTGTTTGGTTAGAATCTGCTGTATCATATGACCTGGACATGTTCATGTGGTTGCTTACATTAATCTGACATTGTTTTTGGCAACATTTCTTGTATAGTTTAGTCTGCTGAACCAACAGGTAAACAAAGTTTTACAAGCAAGCAATGCCTCCAGAAATCAGATCCACCTAACAGATCCCTCTCGTCAGTCAGAGGGTGTTTTGCCAAAAATATTTTCTTAGTGACACAATTACTTCACTCCTGGTTTACTTCACATCTTTGAACATTGCTGGAGGGAACAAATTCTCAGGTGACATATCCTGAATAACAAAAAGCGCTGTTTGCCTCAAATTATTAATTTGCACCAGGATGCACACAGTTTAGTTCTGAACTGAAAAAGGAGCAAAACGCAGGAGGAAGCAAAGGGAGTAGGATTTTTTCGGATGCTTTTGCATTTAGTTGCGTGACACTCAAGGATCGCAAATAGCAGATTTGTGGAAACCCAAAGTTTTCTGTGAAACTGTTTGTGCTCTGATGAATTGGTCACATATCAGGCAGACAACAAACCACATGCCATTTTTAATGATACAGAAGAGATGCATTGCTACATGGGAGCAAGGGCTGGGCATGAACAGATTAGAAGAAAAAACACAGGATTGGGTGAAAGTGAAATGGGGAGTTAGTAATCTCAAATATTAAATAATGAATCAAATACATTTTTTTGGATTTGCTTTTGGTTGTTTTGACGGCTTACAGTATAGTAGTTTTCTGACATTTGAGATCATTTTTATTTCCTTTCTTTCTCCATCTAATCTGTTGTCATATGGACCAGAGTTAAGAAGGGAGTTTAGCATCAGCTTTTCCTGCTCCACGATATCACATACGTCTAAATCTGTCCAGAAATAGGATATTTGAGTCAACTCTCTGACTGGGGCTGCTGGGACAGTCTGGCTTTGAACCTTAAGCGGACTAAGGAATCGCCTATGAGGATGATTACATTTCAAGTTGAAAATAAAGTCAAGTTGTTCATGAACTGTCTTTAGTACCTTAAAGAAAAAGTAAATTATGCTGTAGGTACTGAGGTAAAGGCATTCATTGCTCCACAAGATTTAGTTTTTGTGTCCTCAGCTAGTGTAGGATTTAACTCAGTGGGCTGTGCATGAGGGTGATTAGTTGTGACATAATCTACAGTTGTAATATCAAAAGCCCATGGTGCTGGCAAAGGCAATAAAATATCTCTCGCTAAAATAAACACACACACAAATCAATGTGATGATAAATGAGAAGTCACTGGGATGCAGTAATCTGTTCCACCCTATTAAAGTCGGGACGTGTAGGCCACTGTGCTTCCCCATCAACAGTAATAGGCCAAATCCACAGGGATTTCCTGCCAATCACAGGCTCTTGGTATCTTAATGACTTTTCCTCAGAAGCTGATAAAAGTGCTTTTCATCTAAATACGTCAATCTGTTTTGTTTTACTGCACTGAGTAGATGAAGCAACATGGATTCAAAGCACGAGCAGATCGTGTATTACTGTGGAAATTATTATTATTAAAGAGCACCTGGGACCTCTTAACTCTATTGTTACATGTTGCTGTGAGCTGTAATCCCTGACCTTAAAGATTACCCTTATCCTTGAAAGCTCATTGATCTTTCAGACATTTTCAGTTCTTTTTCAATGCAAGACACGAACAGGCACTCATGTGTTCACAATTAAAATAAGAAAGAATGGAGGAAGTAAAAGATGATTTCGCCCAGCAGTGTCGCCTGGCTCACTCGACCGTAGACTCTGCCAAATTCAATATGTTAATGTTATCCTTAAGCACACGCTAATAAGAGCAATCACTTGCCTGGTTAAGACTCCAATCAAAATGCTAATTACAATCCTGAACAGTTTGGGATTCATTACACTCCTTTAGTTCCACTTTTCTGTCTGCCTTCCTTTGGGTGGTTGCCAAAAAGCTTGTGCCGTTATAAAAATATGTCTGATTACCTTCACTGTTGAACAGTTCTTACAGAGAGAGCCCACACACATGCAGCACATTGAAGACTTGTTTGACGGAGCACTGAGTCAACACTTTCACCTTATAATCAATCGCAAGGCAACAGTGTAATCTTTAAGAACAGACTGATGCAACGTGTTTGTATTGTATGGGTGAGTGTGTTCATCTTCTGCCACTTTAATTCACCCCGGGGTTGTTACCGTGGAAGTACTATTGGTCCCATGTTACTAAATAATGATGGCTTTGGAGACTTTGAAAACATGGCCCCTGGGCTTTCTGATATTTTGTTACTCTGTGCTTTGCTGTTTGGGAAGTTTGGTGGCTGCTGTTGTTTTTTCTGTCACACTTATATTTGTTTTACGTGAGAAACAGAAATCCAAAGGTGGGGGGAAAGAAATAAGATTATCATCATCATTAAAAATAACGAATAGTAGGTTCGACTTTTCTAACATACATTACATTAACAGGAAGGTATAGTCTCACCACATCTACTGCTTGTAAGCAGTCATTAATGTAACTAAAACCATTCTCTGAATTATGGGATCGGATTTTAGATAGTTACTTGACTTGAGTATACTACCTAACTTTCAATTCACTACATTTCAGAAGGAATCTGAAGACAGCAGTCAGTAGTTACTTTGCAGAATAAGATTTTACATATGATCATCTTATGACACATGATTAATTAAACTGCCCCATGGCATATATAGCGTGGCGACTGTTCAACAAAAGTTGTTTCACTTTCCAGTTGCAAGTTATACGTAAAGGATCTGAATTGTTGCTTGACCCTAATTAGTAAAGGGCACTGTGTCAGTACAATAACAACAACAGTAGAAAGGCTGGTATCAGATTTTCGCCACGAAGAACAACATTTTGATGACCAATTTAACGTCATATGGGGACATTGTTGCTGTTTACGGTCTTACTTCTGCTCGTACCTCTTGCTCGTTTTTTTTTCGAAGAAACTACACACACTGTTTCGTATGGATGGAAGTGTGAGAGTGAAAGGAAAGGATGGGAGGATATCACATTATCTCTCTCATTTGCTCCCAGGCATTTGTCAAAGTGAGAATGTCTTTAGCTGCTTAGTGCACCCCTGACATTGTCCTTATCTGTAAGCAAAGTCACTGATTTAAAGCAGTTACAATCAGCAGAAAGAGGAATACATCTGGCAGTGGACCTGCATGGTGACAGGTTCAGTCGTAAAAAGGGAACACATCAAGGAAAAATCTCCATCACACCAACTCTTGGCTTCCGTCTTCATCTTTCTGCGCACCAGCTTTTTTAGGCTTTAGGCGCCTTGTGTCCTTCAAGAAAAACAGGGAATGTGCCCTGATGTCTGCCCTGCAAAGAAACGCACAGAGTGTGACTGATTTATGCCCGGTGAGCTTTTTGGCACAGGTGTCCTGTGTGTGTGTGTGTGTGTGTGTGTGTGTGTGTGTGTGTGTGCGTGTGTGTGCGCGTATTTGCCTTCTGGACACTTGCCCTAATCAGCAAATTCATTTTTTAAATATGGGAATTCCTGATGCAATTCATCATTATGCCAAATAGGCTATGAGGGGATAATCGTATTACATATTTCTCATATATGATGATGCACATGCGTAATCAGCTCTTCCCCCTTCTCGCGCCAACTGAGCCCAATCTTAAAACCGCGAGCAGCCGCAGATCATCCGTGTATTTGAGAGGACAACTCCCAGACTGACTTGAGCGCTGCAGGAAATGCGTCCTTGCGCTGGAAAACTGACCTCATCTGATTTTTTTTTTATTCCATAAGAAGGGAATACTGATGGTGAGTCAGAAGTGTTTTTTTCTGCTCCAGAGGCTTCTCTCATCTCGACCAATGGAATTAGGATGATAAAGGTGAAAGTTGGATTCCGTAACTCGGTGGGTCTAACACGCTCTAACGCGTAGCATTGACAGAGGGATGCGAGGGATACACAGTTGGCCAAGTTTGAAATCAAATCCCAGAAAACGGACTTCAGCTGAGAGGATGCTTGTAGGTGAGTGGGATAATCCACATTTGCATGATTTAGGCCGTTTGATGATTTATCTGGGAGAGATGCAAGAGAGGCGGGAGTTTCTAATCTGTGATAATCTTTGTTCGAGTTGTCGTTTGCTTGACAGACTCTTGACTCTTGTCACACACTTGGTATTTTCAGGCGCAGTCTGCATTTTGCGTCAAAAAAATGATCATTTAGGAAAAAAAACCAATACTTGCCTTGATTTTTATATTATTAAAAGACAGAAATACGCCCAACTCTGATGATGCACTATGGACTCTTAAAGTAAAGACAACTTTTTAAATAAATAAATACAAATTTAAAAAAAACGAAAGGGTGAAATCTCTTTCTCGCATCAGCATGCAGTGTCTCTGTGGGCAGCTGCTGCTTCAGTTCCTCATTCACACACTCACACAGATAACAATGTCCCTGTGTGAAGTGGTTCAGTGGAAAACATGAATTAAATGTATTTAATATATAACACGTAATTAAGAATTTAGAGGCCCATGTGCGCAGTTTGCAAACAAGCAAGAAGACAACCAATAAATCATCAACAACAACTGATGCAACCTTTAGTGCCGGATGCCAGAACAAAGACGTTAGTATTGTTTGAGAAAATGTCTTTCAAACTTCCATAGTACACAAGTCTCACAGTCACATATAACAAACATGCCGTGTCTGCAGCCTATGATAACTGCTGTTTGTTTGTTTTTTTGCCTTGCAGCTTGTGAGTAGACCTTTACAGAAACCTGTCAACATGCCACTTTGGTAAAAACTCAAAGCAACATTTAAGTGGCCTGGTGCCCTTGGGCTAGATGCTCCATTTATGTCATATTTTATGTAATAGACACAAATGTGGCACAAAATATGACTTCATGACAAAGACTTATTTATTTCCTGTAAGAGATCTTTGCACAGGATCATGGCAGACAGTAGCTGTCAACAGTTCCTTCCTACTCTCGTCCACTGCGTTACATAGGAACCTTAGGAGGATGTAATACTAGAACAAAGAGTTAAGCAAGCAGATGGTAGAGTGTCCTTATTCTGTCCCTGTCAAGCTTTTAAATTGCCCTCGCCTGACCTGTTATATACATTCAGGGATTCATCTAAGACATCAAGTTCCGATACACAAATCCTGCTAAGCTCTCTCTGTTTCTTGTATTCCTTGATTGTACTCTTCTTCACACGCTGTCGGCTTCTTTTGCAGTGTTGATATTTCTCCTGTTCCTTGAGGAAGGATTTGCTCTGGCACAAAAGACTAAAGGTAAGATTTATACATTCACTGCACACCTTTGATAGAGGGACTATACTAAAGGAACACCTCAAAATCAAAAATACATATTTTTCCTCTTACATTTAGTGCTATTTATCAATCTAGATTGTTTTCATGTACATAAAACTGCCCACAACAAGGTCTTTGGATTGACTTGAGTAACCCGGTCATTATTTCTGGAAAGAGACATTGCTGTTACATTTTTCAAATGTATTTTTTGGCGCTTTGAGCACCACACGAGTGCCTTATAGTCCCATTAGAGAGAAGGAAGACATCTCTATGGTCGATATCTCAACTCACACCAAAACAATCTACATTGATAAATAGCTCTGCCGCTAAGATGAAAATATGTATTTTGATTTTGGGGTGAACTGTTCCTTTAAATAAAGACACAAATTGTATTTGAATTAAAGATCAGTGAAGTTTTTTTGCACAATTAGCTATACAGTTAACTCTCAGGTTTCTATTGCCTTCAAAGTGTATCATCAACTGCACAAATAATGTTTCCATCATCAAATGTCAGAATAATTATTGGCTGCCATACATACAGATGGAGGTGCAGCATCAAAAGGGGCGAGACCTTCTCAACGGCCGAAGCAATCTCATCACTGTGGGAACTGGGAACGAAACACAGAAGGTGGCACCTTCAGCTCCCCAAACTACCCGAAAACATACCCTCCCAACAAGGAGTGCCTGTACGTACTGGAAGGTAACCAACAACTCAGCCTGATCATTTCACTGCTGTTAAAAAGTTGAGCTTTTGTGTACAGAGTTTCTGTAAATGTTGAATTAGGTCAGATTCCTCCGATGGAAGTTACAGGGAATCCTTGGAACAAAATAACACTTGTATTTGTAATGATCTGTCTTGGTTACACTGGTGTTTGGGTTATTGTTATTTTAGAATTTATTCTGTGTGTTTGAATACTGACCAAGTTTTCCCTCTATAGTATTTTAAGTGCAAACAAGCTTGCAGGCAATAACATTTTCACATTATCTTGCACACCAAAGAATGCATCAAACGTTGTTGTCCTTTTGTGCATCAGTTTCCCTGTAATTGCTGCTGGAGCTCACAAAACAATCTGACCCACAGTAGTTCTTGGGAAAAATTTGAAAGGAGCAAATGTTTTTTCACTGCGCTGTCCATTCTCTTGTAGCATTGTATGCCTGAGTCACATCTGTGCAGATGTGAAACATCGCTCTGCTTCCCTCAGCCCTGCCCCGCCAGAGGATAGAGCTGCTGTTCCATCAGACCTTCTACATCGAAGCGTCATTTGAATGTCGTTTCGACCACATCGAGGTGCGGGACGGTCCCTTCAGCTTCTCGCCACTCATCAATCGCTTCTGTGGCTCAGCCAGTCCTGGACTGGTCCTCTCTAGCGGACGCTTCCTGTGGATCCGCTTCTTCAGTGATGAAGAACTGGAGGGGATTGGCTTTCAGGTCCAGTACAGCTTCCCAGCAGGTGATTAAAACACAGTGGAATGGTTTTATTGATCCTTGTATGTCAATTTTCTCACTATACCATCCTGGTACTTAGTGAATGTTCATCTAGTCTTCTCAAATAATGCTTTGATCAAATGTCTCTGCTGTTATTAGCCACTCAAATATCTGTCCTTCCACTGATTTCCCTCAAAAGATCCCGAGTTTCATCTGCACGTGGGAGGACTCTTAAACCCCATCCCAGGTAGTGCAACCACACAGCTCAGCCTACTCAAATAACTTCAGTTGTATCTTTAGGTCAATATGTGATGCAAAGTCACAGCAGCTTCCTTTCACCATCAACTCCAATCACCTTCCTCTTTTCTGTTTTCCCTTTTTCTGCCTCCTGTCACTGTCCGTGGCTCAGATTGTCAGTTTGAGCTGACTGGGGCTGACGGATTGATCCGTTCCAGTCAGGTGGAGGAGGATTATAAAGTGAAGCCAGACCAGGCAGTAGACTGCATCTGGACCATACGAGCCCCTACGAACAACAGGGTATGGCATGTGGCCTGCTAAGGTTTTACATTTCTGGCAGTTATCTGATGCACAACAACAGAATAAGCTTTGTTTCTTCAAAACCCTAGATAAATGCGCTTTAGTTTGTTTATTATTCAACATTCCCTGACAGTACATCCACAGCGTGACATATGCGCACATGAGGTATAAAGCAAACATATGTATTCATAATCCAACACTTAACATAAGTACACATACAATTTAGCTGGCCCAAACTTATTTATATTTGATCCTTCAATGCAGTGATGCCTTCAAACGTTATGTCGTCTTATAGCAAAGCAAAATTCAAGGAACTGCATTAAAAATGAACATGTACTGTACCTCTCTCCTCACTGCTTATTCCAGATTTACCTGCGATTCTTGGAATACCAGATGGAAAACTCAAATGAATGTAAGAAGAACTTTGTGGCTGTTTATGATGGCAGTAATGCCATTGAGGACCTAAAGGTAATATATTTTGTAATGTGTGTAATATACATTGGGCTACTGCAGCCAGTAAAATCAAAGTACCTCAATACGATGTAGTGTATTTATTGCACATTGTATTGCATTATACTCTGTTTTTCTCTCCTTTTGCTACACAACAGAGTTTATCTTTTTTTTCTTTGTCATACACGCTCATTTTATTTTTAATATGTTGAAGTTGCAACTGTTCTACAGACCTTGGCCTCAATGAGACTACACATCCAAAACTATACGAGAAAATGGTGTGTGGTTTCTTGCAGGCCAAGTTTTGTAGTACAGTAGCTAATGACATCATGCTGGACACCGGCGTGGGAGTAGTGAGGATGTGGGCTGACGAGACAAGCCGTCTCAGCCGCTTCCGGATGCTGTTCACTTCTTTTACAGACCGTGAGTTTCCCCTTCAGAATATTCAGAACCTTTGACTTTTGACATTTTTGCCATTGTCCTTTTTGCTTAGTTTCTGCAGCTGTGACAAGCACAGAGTGTGGACTGGATGTATGATGTGAACAGATTTGCAGCAGCAGCACCCTCCTGTGGTTTCCATTCGATTCTCCAGCTTTTTAAAGAGTAATGCTTTCTTGATAGCAGTTGTATGAAATGCCCAACCCAGTCACAAGAAAAAATACTGACATTGTTGACATGTTTCAGCAAACCACGGTATATGTCGAAAGTTGACGTTTCTGAACCAAAAATACGTTTCATATCAGCCTTGTGTCACTCTTGCAGAAACACACAATGCCTTGTGGTTAACATTTTGAAACAATTGGTTCAGTTTAGGCAACAAAACCACTTGGTTAAGGTTATAAAAAAAGATCATGTGTATTTAAATAGTAGCATAACAACGTAACGTAACTAGAGTATGTTGGCTCTGTTGGCATCACATACTGATACACCTGTTTGTGTTTCAGCACCCTGTTCAGGCAGTGCATTCTTTTGCCACAGTAACATGTGCATCAACACTTCTCTGGTGTGCAACGGCATACAAAACTGTGTCTTTCCCTGGGATGAAAGCAACTGCAAAGGTACTCCAGTTGGGCCAAAGCACTTTGCAATTCTTTCTTAGAAAACCTGCTGTGCTGTATTAAAATGAGTTGTGTAGCGTTACGTAATCTGATGTATGTTGTGTCAGTCTCTGTTGTTTCACACCTGCTTGAGGATCTCTGGCTTTAAAACAGACACTCACACAGGCCCCTTTTCTCTTCTTTTTCTCAAATGTTCCCAGAAAGCAGTGCATACTGGTGAATGTTGGACAGTACAGAATATCCTTAAGAAATGTCCTCTTGGAAGGAGAATCATGATCTCATCATCCTTGACGCCTTTCTAGCAAAAACACCGTTAAAGAATCGTGGCTGTTTAGTGGCTCTTAAGCATCTCAATTGATTGGGTCGGCTATTTATCAGTAAAACTGGCTTTTAGTGAAGGCTCTGAATTGTTCCTGGCAACCAAAGACACAGACTGTCCTGATGGGAAGGGCAGCAAGTAATTTACTGAGGTACTCACTGCGCCTCTAAATGTCTCTCATATTTTATCTCTCTTTGTCACTCTTCATATCCATCATCCAGAGAAAAAGAGCAAAGGTGTTTTTCATCAGATCACAAAGACTCATGGGACAGTAATCTGTGTGTCTACGGGAGTGGTGCTACTCCTCCTCATCATCTCCATCCTGGTGCAAGTGAAACAGCCACGAAAGAAGGTAACAGAGAGTGATGTTATTTTTATTATTTAGTGTCGCATCACAAAATATTGGTGTATAAAAAGCTAATTTATCAAGTGTGTTGAGTCATAATTTGGTGTTGGTTAGGTGTTGGTACGTAAGAATAACCTGTTGCACCGAGGCGACTTCCAGGAGGTGTTTGACCCTCCGCATTATGAACTCTTTACTCTCAGAGACAAGGTTAGTTTGATTACTTTGATACATTGTTAGCTGTACATGGTTATTTTATTTTACTCAGCAACATTATCTTTTTTAGGATATGTCTGGGGACCTTGGGGAGTTATCAGAAGAACTCCAGTCCCTGCAGGCGCTCAGGAGATCCTCATCAGGCTCACGCTGCATTCACGAACACCACTGTGGCTCTCAGGCTTCTGTCAACTCCGTCAAAGCCAGTCAAGGTGCACATGACATGGGCAGAGGATCCCTGGAGCTTCCCCCTTTCAGAGGGGACCTTCAAAGTGCATTGCCTCCCTCCAGGGACTTGAACAGCAGTATGCGGAAGAAGAGCTGGCCTAGTATGAAACCAGGACGATTGCAAGGCCATCATGGTATGGGGGATAGAGCGATGGGGCGGCAGGATAGAGTGATGGAGGAGGATGAAGAGGAGGAGGAAGATGGAAGGTATGATATGTATGTACGCAGAGCAGGAGGCCGAAGAGGGAACTATGAAATGGCCCAGCAAAGATCCTTGTCCATGGACTTCTGAAAAGAAAAGGCAAGGTTGGCACTGTAAATAATGCAGTGACAACTTTTCAATCAGAGCCACAATTTGGGGGCAATCCTTGACTTCTCTTTTTTCACTTGCCTCCTTCACAGTGAGGTTGGGACATACAGGGTCTGTTACAGAGCCGGTCTTCAGGATTAACAAACAAGTTGAAGATACTTGAGCACTGCCAAATGTATTCGAACTCTGAAACAGCTGACAGAGAGCTGCTATCATATTTGGGATCAGTGTAAAAGTGAAGACAGATAATTATGCTGTGTATTGTTCTTGTTTTCAATGTATTTTGTTAAAAACATTTTACTGTAAAGCAAATTGATTTTGTTGAAAAATGTATTCAATCAGTGTTCAGGCGTGTGGTTACGTTTTAAGGAAATAATGTAAAAATCACCTCTCAGTTTCTGTTCATCTCTTATCACCTGTATTAAAGAATATATATGTACATTTCGGCACCCATTTTGGTCTATAAAAAGTATCATCATGCCTTTGAGTGAGTCAGAAGTCGAGCAGTCACTGATGTCGCTTCTAGGAGGCAGGTGTGTGTGTGTGTGTGTGTGTTGATCAGGAATCTTCTAAAAGGTGTGTCACACAAGTATGCTGGTTGGAACTTCCCTTATAATGTTAATTGTCAGTATGATGATGAGTGCTGTGTTTTATTTTATAAGTATATAACCCCCAAAAGCCCCAGACTGTTTGGCATTGGCAAAGTCTAACCTTCAGTTTCATTTTATATTTTGCCTGCAGACACAGAATTAACTGATGGGTGTTTTAACTTGTCTGATGGAGATTTTTTTTAAAACAGATCATGTAAAAGCTATTAACTGATTAAGTCAGAGATCCGTTTCCTGTTATTTTTCCCCTCAGGACAACAAATTCACATGTGCACAGTGTATACCTTTGACAGATGGCTACGATAGACTGCTTTTAACCCAATGAGAATGTTGATGAGAATGTGTTCAGCGTACCAAACTACTTTGATGACCTTGGAGCTGGAGGATTAAAACACATTCAGACATCCATATTCAGAAAATTCACTGGGCAGATAATTAATGGAGCAACTATGCATACACACAGAGACAAAACATGAACATGCACTATTGTCACTACATTACGGGTGCAGTTTATGGCCGTGAGCCCTGTCATGCTCAAGCATAATGAATACAATAATAAAAGGTTTGCTCTGGTTGGCTCCTTTCTACTCATGACCGAAATAATAACAATAAGACCAAACAGTCTGTAAATGTGAATGTGCTGCTTAAAGGCTTCAAAAGTTGGCCTTATGTTTAAAGGAACAAGATTTATCAAATCTCTTTCTGTCCCAGGTACTGTAAAGCTGCTGAATGTGGCTGGTTTTTAGTAAAACTGTGGTGCACAGTCAGTATTTTTATCACATGTTATCTATGAACAGGCAGGATATCTGCGGCACATCAGAGGATTGCTCCAAAGAAATTAAAATGAGATCAGAAGGCTCAGGTGATGCATGCTGCATAGCTTTTCATCATAGTAAAACGACTCAACAATTTGGATCTGTGATAATTGCTCAACATATCATACAAGGGAACGAACACAATGGAAAAACAAAAACTTGTTACTAAACAGGCAAATCATTTTGGACACATCTCATCTCATACAACTGTTGAGTATATCCCTTATGTTATATTGTGTGTGTTGCCCTCATGTAGGCGACTGTGTGACCATCAGCAAAGAAAGTGAACATCAAGATGACTTTACAGTACAGTGGATAAATGAGTGAGTCAGGTGATCAAACACCAACAGGTTGGCCTGCAGTCTGTCAACCATTAAAAGAGACTTCAACTCAGAGACAAACACATGCTTAAACATGACCATGAAGTTTAGGATATCATAACATTAAAGTGTACTGATCCTTGCGCGTGTGCTTGTGTGTGTGAACACTGAACAACCATATAACATGTATGCCTGATGTGTGACTTCAGTTATACAACAACACGCTATTCTTTATGAGATATATGTATGGTTGCAGACATTTTATTCCTTCTTTGTCTACAGCAACTCAGCATTCCTCTCTGTTCCAACTCATAAATACCCCTCAGATTGAACTCTAATGTATAAGCGACACATGCTTCTGAAATGACACGGCGGGGAATGCAGATTATACAACCCTAACAGGTTTTTCATGATTCTTGTCTTGAACTACAGAGGGACTGTTGCATAACAAGTCAATTATTGCCACTTGGTCAAAAAGTACCTTATAAATACAAATATGACAAAATAACTATATCCATAATTCCTAATGGCATCTTTTAAATCTGAATAAAACAGTACATTAATAGCACATATATAAATACAACACAATTCTACAATTCATCCAGAAGTCCTTTTTGTCCCCATTTATACAAAACAATATGCTACCATACGTTGCTCGATTCATGAAAAAAATCAGTTGTTGTTGTTTTTTAAAAAGAGTCTTTGTGTGTCCTTCATCTTTTTCTTCAATTTATTTTCATCCTCAGCTCACAAATGAGATCAGTTTGTGTTTCAGTCTAGATTGACATGAAGTCATGAAGTGTGCAGGCGTGGGGTCAGTCTGCCTCAGGCCAGTATATTGTTTCCGCAGCACAACAAATGTCTCTCAGCACGTTGAGCTACTCAGTGATTCTTCAAAGAAGGCCAGGCGTTGCTGTGCCACCAGGGGGGTATTCTCCCCAAGAACGGCCTCCGTGAAGTTGGGCCGTCTCCAAGCGTAAACCATACTGTTCAGGAAGCCTTGCAGGGACACACTTGCAGCCTGAAAGGAATACAAATAATGCAATCTGCAACTCAGATATCGGATGATATTTAAATTTTCTCATTTACATTCTTCCCCTTCTGAAACATACCTGTACCATATAAAGGCCAAATAGGCTGCGTTGTTCAATGTTTGTCCAGATCATCAGGATAGACAGTAGAATGAGGAAAAGAGCTACAGCAGAAAGAAAGACACAGTGAGGCATCATTCTGATATTGATTTAAATTTGATGAGGTGTGGTACATTAGATTTAAATACGTATGTGTGTGTGTGTGTGTGTGTGTGTGTGTGTGTGTGTGTGTGTGTGCGTGTGTGTACCTGGTGTCCAGCAGAATAAGATGACTATCACCATATTTCTTGCTGTAGAAAACACTATTTTGAATCTCCTTCTTGAACGTCCATCTCCCTCCACAGGAAATAGACCTTCCTGCTCATGTCTTTCATACCATTTACCAACCTTATAGTAAATGACCTGAAACAAGAAAAAAAATGATTGCAGTCTGCTTACACACATGTAAATATTTAATTCAAGGCTTTAGATAGCACTGTGAAATTATAAATCATAACTATATTTAAACAAAACTGTAAATGACAAATGTAATATGATTGCTTATAACTTACAGAGCAAGACAGTATCACTGGTATCACAATGAGGAAAAGAAAAACTCTGATGAAAGTGTCATGAATTCTTTCCTGGGAAGAAAATAAACATGATAGCTTTGACACATTACAGTACAAACTATAACATAGTGCTTTTATAACAAATACAATATATAACAATGCCAATCAAATACAGTACAATTAAACAATAATAGAACAAATGCTGTGAAATGAAAACACTGGAAATTTAAGTGAATGTGTATACAAAGAGTCTTTTGGTTTAAAAAAGTGTCGAGAGAGATTTATACTCACAGCATCAGAGCAGGAATCCCTCCAGACATGCAAAAACAAAATACAACTAAGAAAAAGAAAATCAAAAGGTCAAAAAGAGGCAGGGGAACAGACCTGCTGCAGTGACTTTAGTGTAAGTTCATAATAAACGTTGTGTGCTCACCTGGTGCAGTATTTGGTATCATTAAGGACAATAAGTGAGCTGTCAGTGACCGGAATCAGCGGGCTAGATTTTATGAAGGGAGTGAGCACATATGCTAAGTACATTGCAATGGGCATCAACCTGTGATATTGGAAAAACAGAGATACAGAATTAAAATGTGTACACCAAGATGACGTCTAAAAATGCTGGAGAGGTAATTCAAGTTATAGTATGCTGTTAACAAACTCACCAAACAATGACATATACAAGTATACCGACTATTTTCCTTCTACACCGACTCTGTAAACCAGACTGATGGGGAGAATTACATTATTGAATTAGTTGTTACTGTTTTTGTACAAATTATAATCTACAAATGCAGTGGAAGCCTCACCTGCACCCCCTCATCCTCTGTGGGACTTGCTCTCCACCCATGGATTGCATTCTTTGACTTCCATGCGTAAACCACCACAAGCAGAAATGAAATTAAATAAAATGTCTGGAAAGGAATGGACAAGCACACAAATATGCAACCGTCAAGTATAACAATTTATTGCAGCACAATATACAGTGAAGCAAAATATATATATATATATATATATATATATATATATATATATATATATGACCCTACGACTTGAATCTGATTAGTTATGACTTCCCAAAGGTAATAGTTTTTGTTTGCATGCATTAAATACCATAGCACACATGTACACCGTGAGCAGTGACTAGTTTAAAACTCCATTAATAGTTTCTTTGAAGAGGTTAAATTAGGGTTTAAGGACTGAGATGTTTTGAGAATATCACTCCAACCAATTAAATTATTCATTTTAGGCTTGAGGTCATTTCATTTTCATCTATTCAGAAATGTAACCTGACATTTTGCTTTGAATAAATATTGGACTTTAAAAGGCAAAACATTTTTCAAATCTGCATTTTGAAAGAAAGCCACAATCTGAACTGAATGAAACTGCGTAACACTGTTTTTGTTCCGACGATCTATTCTTTTACATTTGTTTTATGTAAAATCAATAACTACCCTGCCCTTAACTCTTATCACTGTGAAATACAATGTGACATGACACAGCAGCAAAACCGCCAGCCCCTTTGCTTTATAGATGTAATATAATGAACACAAGGTTTTGACTTATTTTACTGCTCAGTAGTTACAATCGTAAGTAACTGCAGTGATGTGATTCAACACTGAGATAGTGATCTGACCTTAAACCCTGAAGACTGATACTTCAGCTAGGAAGTACCAACATCTGAGTGGATGTATTTACCCAAGCCCTGTCTGTCCCTGTCTGGTTGAAGTACATTACACCTCAGACATGACCCCCCCACCCACCAGGAAACAACCTTGTAAATGATTACTAACAAAGTGAAAGTAATTGTTTCTCACCAGTGACAGCGGCAGGCTGTATTGGCAGATGGCTATGTTGTTGTCAGTGCCCACTTTGTTCATGACACTGGTGGACATCAGGATCAGAGCAGCCAGGAGGTCTGCCAGGGCGAGCTGCACCAGGAGGTGCACCTGCAAAACAAATACATGTAAAGGATGTTGCTCTGCTGTAAAACTGTGAGATGCATAAGAAGACAAAAGTCAACAAATTCCCTGGACTAAAACACTCTGTACCAAAACCTCAATAAACTATAAAAACTATAGAATATATATATAGTCTATTGATCAACCACACAACATACAGTAACACAAATACATAAGTACAAGCAACCTGACTCACCTGTTCTTTTAGGTGCCTCCATCTCACTAAGGAAACCACCAGGACAGAAAAACTCCCAATCACGCTGCAGTTAATCAGAGATATGTGGAGTATTATACAACACCATAGAGGCTTGGGCAAAACGACATTAGCACTGCGTTGATTTCTTGACCACGTGTATAAGGTTTAAAATAAATGATGAACACAAAGTTGCAAAGTCATGGTCATTTGGCACCACATCAACACTAAAGATGAGACAAGATGGGTTTATTGAGCTGGTCAGTGTCTGAGGATGAGAGAGGCCCCTATGTCTGAAAGACATCTTACCTCAGACACATGTGACACCTGCATATAAAGCTGTACGATGACATCATAACCCTTCTCTTGGCTCCATAGAAACTAACTAACTGATTTATTTCCCGCATTTCCTTGAGCACCATGCTATTATTTGGCTTTCTTTGTCACAAGCAAAAGAAAGAAACCAAGCAGTACACAGCAGCAGGGAGACTGAGTTTACTGAAAGAAGTTTTAAATTTTCAGAAAATATCCTGTGAACTACAACTCAGTGCTGAATACTCATTACATTTACATGGTGGAAATATTCATAATAGAACACGAGGTAAGAACACTAAAGAAAGCCAGAGAGAGAATACATAAGCCAGCATCTTCTTAAATGTTGCCATGCTAGTCTGGCAAACCTCTCCTGATCAGAAAACTGAAATTATAAGATTGTTGTTCTGCTGATAGTCTTACTGTACAACTCATTTTATATGCCATAATCTGGTTGCTATAAAAACTCCTAATGTAAACAAATAACATTCATTGCTAGTAAGGAATCAAGCATGAAAGAGAAAACGTATGACAAAGCATTTTACCTGGGAGTAAGTAACGCCAAGTACACAGTGGAGAGAACATCAATCTAAAGAAAAAACAGAATTCAAACATGTTACCAGAAATGTATTATTTCCATCCCAATAGTTTTTATTGAAAGAAGCTGTTTTCAATTTAAATTAATTGAATCACTCACAGAAAATAAGCTATTAAGTGTAAGTGCCTACCTGATCTCCACTCAGTGTACCATTGAGCTTCATGGTGAATCTCCAATAATCAATCTATTCAAAATGCACACTCTGTTTGGGCACAGCTAAATAACACGTCTCCATAACAGGCCTTTGTGAAAATATGACTTCTTGTCAAAGCACACCTCTATAAGTGCACACCTTGTCATGTGCTGCTGTGTTGACTCCACCTGCTTTGAGTGTGTGCTTAACACTTTTAAATCGAAACCCCTAGTTGGAATGGGAATTTCCCTTGTTTTGCCACCAGTCTTTCAAGAAATTAAAACTATGAAGCAGAATACCCCCGTACTATTTGGACCTTCGTTGTCAGATGCTTCAATTTCCTTCCAAAATAACAGTTGTAGACACTAGATGTCCTTATTTTCTCTGCTTCCGTGCCAAATGTTTACCATCAACTGTCATGAGGATTTCTCTGTAATGTATTGCATTAATAACAAGCAGCTCTAGACGCACACACTGTCTCTCATAACCCCCCCTGTTTATGAGAGACAGTGTTGTGAACTGTGGAGTGCAGTGAAGCATGTTACTCGATTCAGGATAAACATCTGTGATACAGAGACATCTAGTGGCACGAAACAGTCCTGCATTTTACAGCGTGATGAAAAACAACTTTTCAGCATTAAAAAAAACTTCCAAGTCATTTCCTCCGTGTTAAATACGGACTACACCGTGATGGCGCGGGGTGTATTGAATAAAAAGAACAGCTTGTATGTGTATTACAAAAAGACAACACGGTGCACTCAAAAAGTTAATGTTTACAGACTATGTCTTGTGATGCGATGTGTGTGTTGATAAAGTTGATTCAAACTGGTGACGTCGTAGATTCCACGTTGGCCCGGACGTGGCACTCGGCAGTGTCCTATAACCGGATCAGTGTACAACTAGCACACGTCGGTGTTGCTGTGGCTAATATCAGTGCTTCTTTCTTACAGTATAGTCAGACATCATCGAGCAGCTATGGGGCTCACCATGTCGTCGATCTTTGATAAGTTTTTTGGCAAAAAACAAATGAGGATTTTGATGGGTGAGTGAAGGCTGTGCGGCTAACTAACTAGCCACACACTAGATGGTAGCTTGATAAGTAGTTAGCTAGCTCGGTCTTGATGTGCTTTCAATGGCAGCGCGGTTATCAAACTGTCAAAGTACAACAGTGGGGCAGCAGCGGAATGAAAACTAAATGTACAACCATATGATTATTACAGTTGTAGAGTGTATGTATAATATAACTAACGTTAGCTTTCCCAGCAAGCGCTAAGTTAGCTCATAACGTTAGCTTCATTTCGGGTGTTTCTAAAGAAGTTTGGCAATGAGTCTGCAAACGACAACTTTTTCCCTGAAAACGGCTTAAATATAACGAATTATTTATTCTTTTACATTTTAATAGCTTTTTAATAAAAGATAGTTTGGCCGCAATTGCCAAGTGGGTCTATTAACACTTCCTAACTTCACGTTTTGTTTAGTTGGGATTAGAAGTTGTTTATTGATTATTTATTTAACACATATAAAGAAATGTTATTTGTTAACCTAAATTGTTAGACGGTAACTTGTTGTTAGCGTTTTCTGTTCTCTGCTTTGGGTAACTTGTTATTGGGTAACGTTAGCGCTGACTAGCTCCTTGTGACGTGTGATGGAAGTGTCATTGTGTGCTAATCTTAAATCCTGTTTTCGGATAGTTAGGGAGTCCTATGTTCTCGATGAAGTTAATGTAATTAATAAAATGTTGATTTTAATCCAACTTTTCCACTTTAGTTGGGCTGGATGCTGCCGGGAAAACAACTATCTTGTACAAATTGAAGCTTGGTGAAATCGTGACCACCATCCCAACCATTGGTAAGAGACACACTAACACTGATTATAAGATCACTTAAAGTCATTTTGATCGTCTAATGTGTCCCTCAACATGTTTGACTCATTTAACTTTGTGTGCAATGCTATAAGGATCGGTCTACTCTCTTTCCCGTGTAAAGGTTTCAATGTGGAGACGGTAGAATATAAAAATATCAACTTCACTGTGTGGGATGTGGGTGGCCAGGACAAGATCAGACCCCTCTGGAGACATTACTTCCAGAACACGCAGGTATGGCTGTGACTGCCCCAGTGCCGTGGGACGACTCCGCTTTCATAATGCAAAGCTACGCCCATGTTTGATATAGTAAAATGCAGTGTCGGTGAAGTTCTCTAATCAACCAGTATTCATGTCAAAGTATAATGCTGAAGCTTCACAAATACTTCTTTTCTCCCAACCAGTCATATTCAGTTATTGGCAATTTCTCAGCATCTTAGTTAAAGAAAAGGAAAACTAACACCGTTAATGTTTCGTCTAGGGCCTCATCTTTGTGGTGGACAGCAATGACCGAGAAAGAGTGGCAGAATCTTCAGATGAGCTCAGGAAGATGGTAGGTTTGTATTATGTTCAGCTTAGAAGCGATTTCAGATTCAGTCTTGGTTTTCATCTTTAAATAAAAGAACATGTATTATGTTTAGTCACGTTTCAGTCATTTTTATCCTTCGTAGTTTAGTTGATGAAAAGTCTTTTTTTTAATCAAATTTTAGTTTGCACCGCTCAACATGCAGAATATGTATTAATCAACCACCGAACTAGACTCAAACCGCAAACCTCTTGCAATGTATTAGAACAATTGTCAGATCTGAGGGACTGAGGGCCGCAGCGTGTGGTTGAGACGGAGTAACGGAGAAGAAAAGTAAAAGATTCTGGTTAAGTTGGTCTTTTTTATTCCCTTTATTGGACAGATTAAGAGTTTAGTGGCAGACTGGAAATGGGGGGAGAGAGGCTGCTGTCATATGCAACCAAAGTTCTGCAGTTTGATCTTAAGTGGCTTGCGCAGTAAGGATTTGGCTACCAAGGCGTTTTAGTCCTTCAAAGATATTGCATGTTGACGTAGTCACAGATAATGGTTAATGACGCTGGTGCTGTCCCTTCATCGTCTTGTCTTCGTCGTGGGGGGGGGAAAGGTTTGTTGACGAAGATATTTCATCAAACTAAAACCTGTATTTGTTCATCCCTTTGGGAAATTAGCAGGATCTGTTGATGTGCATGTTGCATGGCTAGCCCATGGATTTTGACATCATTAGGTAACAATGTTAACTTCTTCCAAGCACATCAATGGTGGAAGTGCCCAATAGCCTTAATCCTCATATTATAATTGCTTTGTGCTTCCTCAGTGTTACTGACGTAACCTGTTCATTGCAATAGGTGTGATCAACATATTGATGAGTCACCAAAATATTGTGAGAAGTGAAATGCCACTTGACATGGCTCCACATTGTGACTTGAGTGTATTGCATTGTTTCATTTTTACATTGTCATTATGTTGCATGTATTTTTTTATTTGAACCTTGAAGGGCCAGTGGGGAAGGCGCATCAGACTATAGTTTTGTTTTTAGGTAAAATGTGAGTGAGTAAAGACAGCTGTTTTGTCTCACCATTACTCTGAATACGCTGCTTCCTAAACCTCCAGCTGTTTAAAAGGCTAGACTCAAACGGGGACATTGTGAAGAAGTGGGCTGCAGTCGAGGAGTCAAAAACACTGTCTTACACTTCCCACTGTTCCTGGATCTCCATGAAAAACGTCATGAGGTCAAGGAAAGATGTGAAGGATAATTAAATTGATATGGTCTCAGGAAAAGACAACCGTGGTACTAAGAGAATCAGACTGCACGTACAGTAGGCTAAATAATTCTGCGGCGGTGGATGTTATTGACGTGGGTCTGCCCCAAAGATGGACTACTAAAAGCACATCTTCGACATTCCCCCAACGCGTTCTTACGGTGTTTCGTGCAGGCTTGATAAACTGAGATAACCCTGTAAAGAAAAATCGTGCATCGGTTTAAATGTTACTCCTAAATGACACTACGATCTCCTTTACTTTTGTAAAAGATGATCCAGAGTACCCTCTGCTTAAGGAGATAGGAAAGGAAGCATTGACGCAAATTTTGTTAGCGTTCCAAGAATTCGACCAGCTCTCATCATGGTTGCCACTGAGAGACTTCTGGGTCAATTCACTCAGTTAGGAACCTTCCTCAGCAAAAAAAAAAAAAGCCAAACTGCTTATTTTTGCATTATTGCTGAGGGATATGAACCACGTCTTATTGTTGTGCATTTAGTCCATCGTTTGCATTTCTGAAGCATGTACTCTGACTACATTGGTATACAGTACTGTATCTATACTGCCTTGAGTAATTCTAATGATTTTAGACTTCCTACGTATTCACGACAGACCCATAATATCATCTCACTGTCAATGTATGTTGTGAATATAATCACTCTTGAATCTGTTTCTGAAATCTTAGAGCTGATGTTGAAATCTGTTTCTGCCCCTCTAGTTGACTGAGGATGAGTTGAAAGACGCTATTGTGCTGGTGTTTGCTAACAAACAGGACCTTCCCAATGCCTTATCAGTCAGCGAACTCACAGACAAGCTTGGCCTACAGACCCTCCACCACAAAAATGTAAGTAATCTGACTAAACATGCAGTAAAATTAATCTGAGAGTTGCGTTCTTATCTTTCTCATATCTAACTGGTATAATCTCTTACCCCACAGTGGCACATTCAGTCAACCTGCGCAACCCAGGGCACTGGGTTGTATGAGGGACTTGACTGGCTATCCAGAGAGTTGTTAAAGACCTAAAGAAGGCTCGGCCTAACGGAGAGAGATGAGGCTCGACAGGACAGGACAGAAGGCACAGACATTCAATCCAGAAACATTTGTTCTTCCAGAACCAATGTTCACAAAGAGGAGAAGGCTGGTGGACAATATATAATCGTCTTTGGGGAATTTTACTATCACATGTTTTTGTTTTTTTCTTTTCTTATCATTAACATTACCTTATTCTCTGTTGATATAGTGTGTTTTCTCCTTCTGTTCCACAACTCTTACATGGCAACACTTTGTAATTCCACATCCAGTTGCCTGATGAGCAAATGGCCGTTTAGGGGAAATTTTATGAAAACAAATAATAAATGAAGTGATTGAAGTTTTTTTTTTTTTTTTTTCTTCACCTCTGCTGCTGTCTAGGCAGAATTTGCAGTAATTGACCACTTGTATACTTGTTTGACTTTCTTATAGCCATTATTGAGCTGAACCTTGGGGGATAGCATAACTAGAGCTTTGGTGAGGGACGTCATCTCTACAACTCCTCCTGCTTATCTCACCCGTTGCTCATTTCTGTAAAGGCCTGTAGCCCGTAGAATGAGATGGACGAGGATTGCATTGATTTTTTTTTTTTTCCAGATAAATAGTTAGTTGTGTGGAACCACATGGCCTCCCAGTAAATGGATCCAAAGGGAATATTGTGCCTTCTGGTCCCGCTTAACACAAATCTGACTAATCCTTTTCATATCTCATTCTGAGGCTATACTCACTCATTAGGCGCTTAAGTGACTTGTTTGTTTTTGAAAGACGCTTCCTTTTGTTCTGCAGTGTAAGCTGAGGTGCAGCAGAACCACACTAGTGTGAATGTACATTGCTTCTTTACAACTTAACTATCAACCAGGATTTCATACTGTTTACATCCTTCTAGCCTTTTTTTTTTTTTTTTTTTTGTTATATATAGCCACCATGCATGGAAAAGGGATTTAATTAGATTTTTCATTTCTACTGACACACTAACAGAACATCTTGTTTCCCTGAAAGGAGGAAGGAAGCACCTTTCCAGTGTTGACACATGGCCAATGTCAGTGCGACGCAGTAAAGTAGCATGTTCTTTTGTTTGAGTTTGTTGTACTGTCTGAAGAGTACTGTAAACTAAAGCATACCTGCCCCATTAGTTTATTTTTGTGTATACATTCCAACCCATGCTTGCAGATGCTGGAGCTGCCACTCTTAAAATTATTCCCAAAAATTATTTTACAAAAAAAAAAAGCTCTAAATAAAGACAACGTTAAAACAAATTTGCGTTTTGGACTCCACTCATTGATGAGGACAGGCACTTTCATCTGGACTTGAAGCTTTTACTCATTCAAAATGGACTATAAAAGCATTTTGATTACTGTATTAATGGAAGGTCAAATCATTTTGCAGGCAAGCAAAATCATTTTGCATAAGAACTAAAGTGTCGTCATGTGGCTCTCCTACAGGTGTAAACCACCCTGCCTGCAGGTGATCTTTGTTGATACCTGGGAGAGAACATGCCAGCATGTTAATCCATATGATTCTGTGTATTTTCACAACATGTTGCGGTCAGTAAATGGTTGTTTACTAAATGAGTCTTGTTGGTTTTTGTGGCAGTTTGCATGTAAATTGAAGTGGAAGTAAACAACACTATAAAAGATGCCTTTTAATTCTACCTCTTTGAATTATGTTGGGGTCTGTGGAAACTCAGGAACTTTTGAAACAAATGTCAGTTTCAAAATAAGAACCAGGCCCATACACATATGCAGATAATCAGAAACATTTACAGAGTATAGAGTTTATTTCTACATGTTTGAATAATACAAAAGTACACAACAATAACAAACCATATGTTATGCGTGGGAGAGGCCTTTCTGTGCCTCATGCTTGGTCCTTAAAATGAAGACCTGTTTATTTACGTTTCGTGTATTTAAGGAAGTCAAGTTTGAAATACCCTTTCATCCACAATATGTTCAAATCGGTTCAGATAGTTGGTAAGTGGTGAAGGTAAAGAGAGTGCTGGTGTGTTTGTACGGTGAATGAACAACATAAAGTTGTTCTTTCAAAGTAAAGGAGAATCCTATCGGTGCTTGTTAACAGTAGTGAGACCAACAATTCTTATTTTCTATCACAATCTAAGTAAAATCATGTCTGAAGCTTTAGCTGGTGCCTGGTAATTAGAACCTTCATACAGTGTTAATAGGTGAAGGTATAAGCATTATATAATTGGCTTTCTATCATGTGTGAATGTCTCTCCTAATGTATTTATGACAGCTAATCAGGCTTAGTGGAGCTGGGTCAGTGCAGTGTGTGTATCTCTGTGGGTCAGCATAGAGGAGCACGTGTGTTCTGCAGTTTTCAGTTCCCTGCACTCTTAAAGCCGGCAACACATTAAATGGGATTTACAGCTTCACTGTCCAACACAATCAAAAGGGTAAGTTTCACATTTTATTGATCGTATTTTATAGAATATTATATAATCATTGTATTTTGAATATGTTGCTATTTTTGATATTCTTTCCGGCAAATTTCTTTGGTAACAACTTTAGTATTGAGACTTTTACACTCTGCTAAATTACTGGAAAAAAGCAACAGCGCACAGCTACAAAAATTGTCAGTTTAAGAAGCCGTGTGTTTGTCAAAAGCTCACATACAGTGTGACAAGAAGGTAACATGAGGTTGGCCCAGTTTGGGCAGAGTCCTGCACATCTACCGTGTTACGTCTCAGGCTGATCTTGGGGTTTTCTCTCGGTGCAGGATGCTGCCGGCCTTGATACCAGTACCACAGCCTTCCTACTCCCAGGCCAGGGAGAACCTAGTGAAGGCTATCCCACCAAAGCTCCTCTGTCTGCTGGCCTGTGGAGGAATAGACTGCCGCTACGAAGGACCAGAGTGTTGGAAATTAAACCAACAGGCCATTCGAGGCCTTTTCTCCTCCTGGTGAGACTGCAGTCTCATAGATGTTGCCGTGTCAGGTGCCGTATCAAAAACAGTACGTGGCAATTTACTAATGATCAACTTCTTCCTATTGCAGGCTGACAGATGACATTATTGCCATGGCACGACCATCCAATAATCTAATAGAGAAGTACAACATCATTGAACAATTTCGAAGGTAATCACTATAATTCCTGCAATGTTTGTGTTGTTCTCCTGTGTGCCTGTGCAGTGTGTGGATACGCATGATACATGAGGAGTTGTAGGAATTATGAGCTTAAAAGGTGGGAACATTATCATTGTACCACCCCTTCTGCACACACAGGTAATTAGTTTAAAAAAAAGTGGAGTAAAATGTGGATAAGACATGTGACATTGCTTTTTAATTAGACAAAAAAATAAATTGTGGACATATAAGTAATTTATTATAACAATAAATATTACATTTGATACACAAACACAGCACTAGTGTCAACCATCTACATCATTTATCACTTTTTCCCAGGTTGAACATCAGATCAATCATCAACATGCAGCTCCCTGGAGAGCATGCTCACTGTGGACCCCCCCTAGAGCCTGGAAGTGGTTTCACATACTCTCCACAGATCTTCATGGACAATGACAGTGAGATCTTGATACAGTAAATACACCACATGGAAGACTGTACCACTCAACAACGTGGGAAATGTAAATAAGCAGAAACAGTTAACGTTCAGCCGTGGTTTATTCACATATCGGTATATTTGCAGTTTACTTTTACAACTTCGGGATGCAAGATTTCGGTGTGTCCTCCCTCGTCGGTATTATCGACGGGGTGAAGGTTTTGGCCTTTGCAGTGAGGGAAGGAAGGGTGGCTGTGCACTGCCACGCAGGCCTGGGCAGGACAGGTAGGCATACAAATACTGTATCTACTGTTCATATAAACTGTGCACATGTTATGCACTTATGAATATGTAGTGTGTTTGCTCATGTGTTCTTGCTGTTCAACAGGTGTCCTGATAGCCTGTTACCTGATTTACACCCTGCGCATCAGCCCGAGTGAGGCCGTGCACTACGTAAGGATTAAAAGGCCATGCTCTATCCAAACCCGGGCGCAGCTCAGCCAGGTGTTTGACTTTGCTCGCCTGCTTGGCACACAGCTGGTCCAGTACCCAGACCTCAGCATGCGGCATAGAGTCCCTTTCACCCTGCAGCATTACCTAAACCGACAGGCAATAATGCTGCATGGCCAGGAGGCACGCACCCTCAGACATACACCCAAGGTCCGGACCTTATCATTATATTACATTAATCCTTTGTCATCAACATACCTGTAAACAGTTAACCTCCTTCTCATGTCTGTCCTCCCATTAGGTGGTGTATCTCCTGTGTGTGCATCTCTCCTGCTTAGCCCTGGGGCTCCCTGCTCCTCCAGAGATCCAGGCTGAGCTAGAGAAGAGGTCAGTACTGAGGACCTTGAACAGGACTGTGAGGGAGACCCTGGTGTCCAAACAGTACTTGCCCTTACTGAGGGAGGGTCACAGGGGGGCGTGGCTGAGCTCAGGGTCGGTGTCCTCCTGGGACGAGCCACTGGGATTCTTGGAGAGGAAGAGAGAGGTGCTGTTGCACAAACGCAGCTACAGTGACTCTGACCTCAGCAAGATCGCAGTAATTGAGGTCCAATTTCACATTATTTATCTACAATTACATACAGTTTCTGAATGTCTGCTGTAAAATCAAACTGGTCATTGAGGCGTTTCTCACTTTGTTGTATTTTGTCCTGAAGGATCTGGAGTTGAGTCCATACTGCACCCCAGCACTTGGAAATGAGAGGCAGTGGTGTGTACAGAATTTGATACGATCTGATCTGAGACCCGGTAGTCCAATGCTTGCCCCACTTTCACCAGGCCACCAGACCACCAAAAGGGCATCTCATACACTCAACATCCCCATATCTAGCATGACAACAAACAATAACTGTGCTAAGAGGTCAAGGTGCCCAGCGAAAAAGGCACTTCCCAAATACAGCTCTAACAGTGAGGTAACTGTGATTCTTAATATCAGAAAATGTAGCTAACAAATAAAGCTTTGATATAAATGCTTTAAAAGTGATTGATGTAATATAAAGTTTGGCAGAAATCCACATTATCCTGGCCCAACCTCAGTCGCCCGTGCTGTTGCTAAGGCAATGGCAGACCATGGTCCTCGAGGAGAAACCATACTGCAAAGATCGGCTCTGCTGCAGGTGAAAAACACTGGTGCAAACCTGAGTTTACATCAGAACATGTCACTTTGATTTTGAGCTCTAAAACCACCGACTTAATACTGTTACTCGCCTTTTAATAAACAGGAGGAACTGAACAGCAGTGACTGTGGCTGGGCTCTGCTGGTCACCGAATCAGATCCTCAGGTCCTCAGTTGTCTGTTGTGGACCTGGCTGGACAAGTTGAGGGTCAGTGGCAAAACATATACCTTGAAGTTTTGATTTTTTAGTTTTCACTTCCCGTGCTTTCTCTCAGTCCTGTCTGTGTTTCTTCCAACCTCATCCAGGAGCCTGTTCTGAGTGCAGAGGATGTAGAGCGTTTGAGTTGTGGAGCAAACAACAGGACGTCTCTCAGTGTGCTCAAGAAGGTGAAGAAGGAATAATCATTTGACACTTGAGTATTCTTCTTAAAAACTCTTAACCTCTTTGGCGAAGATTTAAAAAGTTATTTTCAATATTACATCATTACAGTCACAAAGACACACCATCTATTGTCTACTGAGCTGTGTGAGCACAGTGACCAGCTTGTGTCCACACAGAGAGGATGCAGTGCTGCAACGATTGGGGCGAGCACTTACAAGGGTAAGACACATGTGGAATTAAAGTATGTTAAGTGTGTGTGTGTGGTTCCATTAGAAATAATTATTAGCCTTTTTTTTTATCAACAGCACCCCCAGGAGGAAATGGGAAGCCTTGCAACCTTGATTAAGGTCCTGAAGGCGAGTTTGAGAGAAACCTTTCACAACTGCACATACCTCAGGAGGGCCTGCAGCACCAATGCTACACTTTGAAGAGTCTATATCTAAAAAACAAAAACTAACAGAGCAGTTTTATTTAAAAAGTTATTTCATCTTCGGCACCTGATTGTGGGCAATTTGTTTTACATTTATAGTGTTAGATCCGGGAGTTAAGCCTCGATACAGGACTATAAAATAAACCAGCTCTCCGTTTAAAGGGTCAGGGTCACCAAGCCTGTCGGGGTTTTAACCACCTGGGATACCCGGTGATCTGTTTAAGCTGGTGGTAGAGGGAACTCGCCTGGCTTACTCACTGCCGTCCCTCCTGACGTCTACCCTGCTTCCTCTGGCAGCTGCACACGGCAGAGAGGCCCTCTTGGCCAAATGCAGCTATCAGTCACGTCAGTTAATGGCAGCTTTTCTCTGATGGATCTAGGCTCTTGGTAAGGTGCCAGAATAGGTTTTGATAGCTATATGATTAAGCTATGAGGGTTTGTTATGCGGACTAAGAACTATAATAACCATTCAGAACTCCATCGCCACGCCATGAGTACTCTTTACTACTTTACGAATAAAGTCTCAGGACTACTTGCTTTAAATGCAGTTTTAGATATTTATTCTTCAGATTCAGGGTCCTGGTATTGTGCATGCTCACTGTTACATTGTCATGGCTTCCTGGGACACTTGAATAGAAACAGAGCCATGGTTAATGTTATTAGCATGTTATTAGCAACACCTTTGGGCTCCTGTGCTTTTCCTACTATGACCAGTTAAAATGTCTGCTGTGAAAAAGGCAGATTAGGACGGCTACTAGTCTTTTTGGAGGCCATGGCAAGATTTAGCTTCTGGTGCCCCAGTCCCCAAATCTTACTGATATCATCCAATTAAAGCCGCTGAGTGGCGCAAAAAAAATGTGCAGAAATATGCCAATAACAACATAAGGAACATAGGTTTTTGAGTTTACATCCCTATCCCTTTCCAGCATCCATTGCCAATCATGAACAATTGGTACAAAGTTAGTGGATGAAGAAGATTGATCTACTTTAAGTCCGCTGGGTGCACCTAAGAGAGTGTGGGACCCTGATCGTAATTTACTTATGACACCAGTCCTGAATATTTTGCTGGTACTTCAACTTGAAGTAAAGCCCCCCCCCCCATTAGAATTCAATAGTGACACTGATGCAATGTTTACTGTCGGCTACCTTAAATAGTATGTAAGCTGCTGTACCCTCATATACTAGCAGGTAAAATCCAAACAGTATATCCACAGTGTGATTCTTTGGCCTGTTTCAGACTTTCATGCCTAATAAATCATTTACACCATCTGCAGCATGCTGCGTTTTCAATAAGAAACATATTCGGAATTGCTGTTGACACTGTCAGAAAGTTGTCTCCATGGTAAGTTGTCATAGTGAAGTTGACAGCAGTGTTTTGGTTCAATGCTCATGCCGAATTCCAGAGAGAGAGAGAGAGCGAGTGAGTGGCACTCGCAGCAGGATCAGGATAAATAAGGTAAAATAATGAATTTATTCATTTAAAGTCAGTAACTGAATTAAATTGAAAGCATGTCAATTTTTATGCATTTGGTAGACATCTTGTGGTTTTGTTACGGAATACTCTGGGTGTATGATGTGTTCACTGGTTTTGGTGTTTAATGTTTACCCACAAACGACTAGTATACAGTAGGCATCTATTCCATGTACTTTGCCTAAAATGTATTTAACTAAGTGACAGTGGACTACTGCAGTCATTTTCACTGCTGTGTAATGTAGTTTCAGAAGCCACTAATAGAATGATTCATGATTTAACGCTAACTAATTGCCTGTATGGGAAATAATCAACCACAGAAACAGAAGACACATTATTGTTACTAAACTGAATATATACCTTAGATGTGTATATGTTTTTCACTTAATGGTTTTAATGATTATTGAATATTTAAATGTTGCACTTCCATCAGTAACTCCAGGCTTTAACAGCATGCCATCAACATCTTTGCCATAATACCCACTCTTTAAGAGCCTGTTGCAAAGAGTCCCAATTATTTGCAGCAAATAATCTAAATAAATATTTACCAAGTTAAGAGTGGACTCTAAAGAACCCTAAGCATCAGACAGACCCTTATTCACCCGCCCGTACTCTCAGGTCAAACGTGTTAAATTATCTGTCTGTCCCAAGACATACCTGTTTATACTGACGTTTGGGTAAAATTCATGCTCTGGGCCTGCTTTTAATCTATGTTATAATTGTGTATTTTCTGTTTATTGTGCCTTCTTAAATACATTTCATGTGTTACAGCCTGTCCTTGTAAATGATTGGCCCTTGTATGGTCACATTGTGTTATTTATGTTTGAAATACCGCTCCTGTTAAGCACTTTGTGACTTTAGTCTGTGAAAAGCGCTATATAAATATATCTTACTTACTTACTAATTCTAAAGAGAGCTACACATCCAATTTAAAGACACCCTGAGTAAGGGAAACATTGTTGTTTTTCTTGATAACTTAAAAGCTAATTCATCAACATGCTTTCGGTCACAATCCATCTTTCTCTCAGGATAATGGCAAGTGCTATAAACTGGGTTGGGACCTGGAGGCCCCACAAGCCAAGAGGGCCCATAGCTGCCCTCTATGGTAATCCAGGACCCAAGTATGCACTGCCTGGACTCGTAGGTATGGCACAAATCACCAGTAAGCCGTTTTCACCACCGACACAATTATTAATTTTTATAACTGACATCATTTGTCTTTTTTTCCCCCGTAAAGGTTTTTCTAACCATGACCCTACTAAACACAAAGCACCAATATTCAGCTTTGGGACACGTCGTGAACGCAGGTATGATTCAGAGGGCCCTGGACCAAAATACCTCATCCCTTCCAACATCACCAGACTGGGCCGAGATGGCACTCCTGCATTTTCACTCCACAGCCGTCAAAAGGAGCTAGAAAAGTTCCAGGTCCCTGGACCAGGTCAGCAGAGCCCCTTACAATTACACAGATTTTGTGAATATGAAAATGGAGTACTGCTGAGCTCAAATCTGAGACTATTCACTGAACGCTGACAATATGCCGCTTTCATCGTGACGCACACTATTATCATTTGGAATTTACCTGTAAGCAGTGTTTTCATATAACTTTCTTTGGTGTTTCAGGAAGATACTCCCCAGAGCATTCAGAAACGTTGCGCTTCCACTCTGCTCCTGCTTATTCTCTGACTGGGAGGAGCAAAGACGTCAGCAAAATCCAAACACCAGGTAAGATGTTGTATTTGGTGTCAGCTGTGGGTTTACAAAGTTCCATGGCGCATACAATATAAACTTTGCTTGTCGCTCAAACTGCAGGTCCAGCCTCCTACTCTCTGCCCCCAGTGCTGGGGCTCAACACTGTGTTGACACCTGCAGCTCCCACCTTCTCATTCCGTGGCCGCAGCAAAATTGGAACCTTCTATGAGGACCTGAAGAAGGTATGTGAATGTCAAACGGCCGTTAAAAAAAAAACCCATCTAGAAACCTTGTGATTTACTTGTTCTCAATACATTTTTGTTCCCCATCCAGACTCCTGGCCCTGCTGCCTACAAAGTTGTTGACCCTCGTATTTACGGACAAAAGCCTCCCCGTTTTAGCATGACAGGGCGCAACTTCCCACCTGGTGAAAACACAAAGAAACCAGGACCTGGTGCATACTATCCTGAGGGGGTAAGAAACATTTATTTTGATCATCAGGCCCCAAATATTTTTGTATTTTGTTCCTTCACTGACATTATTCTCTGCCCAGGTAACCTCCACAAGAGCCAAAGCTCCAAGCTTCTCTTTTGGACTGCGTCACTCGGAATTCATCGTACCCCTAATTGTAGAGGTGCCTGAATAATGTCAAGTATGACATCTTGGAAATTCCCACAGCATTAAGTAAAAAAAAAAAAAAAAGCACAATAAAGAACAAAAAGCAAACTGTGCAAGTTTAATGAAATCAGATTTTATTGCAATGCCTAAAGGCCATTTTGTATCAGTACTTGTGACTTTTCAGGGTATGAACACAAAGTATTCCTTATTTGAAATTTGACGTATGCAACGTATTTTAGACCATTGTCTTAGACCATGTTTTTTTTCAAGGTATCTATTTCTTGTTGTTTTAGAAAACTGATGATTATTTTGATTTGATAATTAAAATTTTCAGTAAGTAACTGTTATAAATTACTGCAGTTTCATTTGTAATCGGACAAGGCACCAAAAGCATAACTAGAAGTATAACTAGAAAAAAGTAAAATTGAATGTAGCCTGGGCTCCAAGGGATGCAAGAGGCAAGTTGATTCATTACAAAAGTCTTTCTTGTAGCTGCCTTTAAGTTTTTTTATTTTTTATTATTCATTCTGCTGTTTTTAAAATTATTTCTATTGTTATTTATTATTTGTTTTATTTTGGTGTCTGACAGGCCTAGTTTTTGTATCTGTGTATGGAGTTGGTGTGTTTGGACGAATAAACATTTAAATGACAAAAAAAGAAGAAAAGAAATGCATTTCCTGCAGAAAATGCGTTGGAGTGATGAAAGATGAAACCAATTGCAAAGCATTGTTGAAAATACTAAAATGCATTATCTAAAGAAGCTAAAAGCTGAATTACAATGCAGGAAAAGCTGAAGCTAAACGATTTTACTGTCAAAGTAATAGTAGTAAAAGTAGTAGTATTAGTAATAGCAGTAGTAATAGTAGTAATAGCAGTAGTAGTGGGCCTAGTAGTAGCAGCAAAAACATTTCTGTTAAAAAAAGGTCATAAAAGAAAGAAAAGCGTGCAATTTCCAAACACCTTTAAACTTTACGTCCCTAAATAGGTGATGAAGGGAGATGTACTCCAATGGCCTCCCTAACGGTAAAACAGACATGGCATTTTTTGTGTGTGTCATTCAACAAAAAGAAAACAACTAACCTAAAGTTAACCATATTTGTGAGAATCGAAGAGCATTCTTGACAGGCACATGTAAGGACAGCAGAAACCGTGACGAGGTGGTCCATCAGGCGTCCCCGTTGCATAGAAACGAAAACAGACATAGGCGTCTTGAAACATGCACGCCTTTAATATCTGGCTTGCCTTGATGAGTGTAGAGCATCTACTAGCGAACCTCTCCTTGTGATAGACAAAACATAATGTACACAAGACAGACAGACTCCGGCATCTGGATAAGTACCATTGTTTAACAAAGTCTTATCAACGCGACGTCAGTTTGCGACGTTAGCCGATCGGTAATTAGCAGCCGATGGAGGTGCATTGTGAAGTTAACAGTAATCATTCGAGACTTTTAAAAAGACAAATGTAATCAGTTACCGTGTCTGTGCCGTTCTCAGCTTTAGGAAGCATCAGTTTTGTCGATGTGAGGAGGACAGACGAACCGATGAAATTAGCGGTCTCGAGCCGAACCACACCATGTTCACCTCAGCTAACCGATGGGAAGCTAACCTAGCTAACGCTCATTTCCGTTGCCAGAAGCCGTCGGATGCTAGCTCTCCTGTCGGAGCTTAGATCATTGTTTCCAGGTAACGTCATTGATCAATGCTGGCTTATACAACCATCCCAATCAAAGCGGAACAAAGTTTAAAAAGAGAGTGACGTTAAAATGGCTGGCGACATTGGCAGCATCCCTGAACTGGACCAAAAAAAATACGATTCAGACGAACAGGTGAAGATCATCTGTCTGGGTGACAGCGCAGTCGGTAAATCGAAGTGAGTATTAGCTGCAGTAAACTGTTTTGAGTTAGTAATATCAGTAACCTTCCTCAGTATGTGTTGTCCTGATTATTGTTGCCTCTCTCTCTCCTAGGCTGATGGAGAGGTTTCTCATGGACGAATAGTATCCATTTGCAGCTGGAGAAATTTAAAATGAAACTTACCTGTGTCAATCATTTTTCTCACTCGTATATGAGCTATATCGTCCTACCATGGTTATTATTACAGCCATTGTGAGCACATTAATCTCCCGTTTAAGGTCGAGATGGCCTCCAACAACGCAGACCATTTGTTCAGAGAGACTAAGACCCTTAACTCTTTCTACAGTCGTCCCCAGCAGTTGTCGACCTACGCTTTGACTCTCTACAAACACACAGCCACTGTAGGAAACAAGACTGTAGCAGTAGGTATGTATTGCTTTTGTTCTGCCGTCAGTGACCACAGGACATACATTTACCCCGTTGAAAACCTCAGTAAAGATTAAATCAGCAGGGATGTGTTTTTTGTTTTTAATGCACAGATTTCTGGGATACCGCTGGTCAGGAGAGATTCCAGAGCATGCATCCTTCGTACTACCACAAAGCACATGCGTGCATCATGGTAAACACACTCTTGGTTTCAAGACGGGTGCGTTTCCAGTAATCATCTAGCCTGCCCTTTCTGGGAGTTGGAACAACAAGTGACTTTAAAAAGTATTTCAGATTGATTACTTCAACAACTGTTTCTGTCACAATGCACTCTTGTTCCACCTCTCAAGTGTATATTAAACCTGTTCCTTTGGCTTTGAAGGGTTTAAGAAAAGTATTAATATTTGGGGTTTTAAGATGCAGATGGCGATTCTCTCGCAGAGAAGTCACCAAGGACTTGTTAGATGACTGCTGGAATGCACCAGTTGAACTGGGGAAGCCACACTGTCACTAAATATAGCAAGACTCTTTTGTAAGCCTTTCTACTTTCTCTTAGGTTTTTGATGTTCAAAGGAAGATCACGTATAAGAATCTGGCCAGCTGGTATAAGGAGCTGAGAGAGTACAGACCGGAGATACCCTGTTGTGTGGTTGCCAACAAAATTGATGGTGAGTTTGACTCTTGACACTTCACGTAACAATGAATGTTCGTCTCTTTCGATTGTATTAAACGTTAATGTTACCTCAGGACAAGTAAACTAGTTGTTTGTGCACACATTGTCTATCTGCTCTATCCTTTTGATTAATTGACTACATTTTGAGGTGTGAACACATTTGTTTTTTTGTAATTGCAGCTGATTTGAAGGTCACACAGAGAAGCTTCAACTTTGGGAAGAAGCAAGGACTCCCATTTTACTTTGTATCAGCGGCTGATGGGACTAATGTTGTTAAGGTTTGAACTTGTGCTTATTTTACTGCATTGTTAATGTCATTAATCCTCAAGTTCATTTCTTCATGCATTTCCAACTTATTAGTAGTTTTACAGTTGACTATGTATGAGATTACAATAAGAATGACTAGGCTCCTTTTGTAAATTCACCCTATAATTCTGTATCTCATTAACTGTCCAGACCATTTGAACGGCCCCTATATGTTGATAGTTCTGACTAACTGTCACAACAGATGTTCAGAGAGATGATGAAGAGGGCAGTGGACTACAAGCAAAACCCCAGCGACTTCATGGATGAAGTGATGCAAGAATTAGAGGTACATCTATCTGAATACCTAAACACAGTCTGATCACTGACGTGCTCATCATTTACATTTACAACCCCGACTAAAAGATGTTTACGACAAGAACAAAAGATGCCCTAAGACATCCCATGATTGGTTTAAAATCTACCATTGTTGTTTTGTTTAATAGAAATTTCTCAGATGCTTACTCAACCTATTCATAAACTCTAATACAACTTAAAATGCGTGTGCTTATTTTACTCTGTTGTCATTTGTTGGATTTATGAAACAGAACTTTGACCTGGAGAAGAAGGAAGATAATTCAGAAGCAGATGAGGACGCATTGAAAGCAGAGAATCCAGAGGTGGTCTGACGTATGTTTACAAGTCCTCCAAACCCTCTTGTCGTCTCATGGATAAGTTATCCTCCTGTCGATGCTCTCTACAGCCACATCGTTTGTCCTGATGTCATTTTGGTGATGGGTTTTCATACCACTGGAGGTTGGCAGGCTTTTAGTCAGGTTTTAAGTCACTGCCCTCCTTCTGTCCAATGACTCTGGCAGGCAGGGAAGTAAACCTGGTGGAATAAATAGGAATTGTGTTGTTTTAATAAAGTTTATTTAGCTGCTCTTTTAGACTTGTCATTCATACTTCTAACAATATCAACTATAAAAATCCCACAGTGAGGCTGAATGTGTATTATTTTGTAATAAGAATGTGAAGCATCTCAAGCATCTCAAAGAGAACGTGTAATTATGAACTGTATTTGCTGCTGTCCTCCATGTTTGTTCGTACTGTTGTGTGCAATGCCAGCGGGGAGCTGCATCTGTTGGCTGCTTTTGTGATGTAAAGTCTGCTTTCAGCACCCTTTAAATGAAAAGTTAATGTACCATGTAACCAAATTGTTATCATGTCTCTTTCTGACTTGCTGTGTTGCAGCAGTAGGCACAAGAGCAGTAAGTTGTCAACTTCAGCACATTATAAGATACAGCTGCCAGTCATACATGAGTAGACATCAGCCGTGTCCTTCATGATGGTTTCCAGGTGATTGTGTGTATATTCATGAGCAGAAATGTTGCCTTGAACATTAAACCAGTTTTCTGGCAGAAGGTGTCTCTCGATTTAACAAACAATTCAATTATTTATATATATATTGCATTATATGCGACTGTTTTTCTGTGGCATTTACTCATAATAAATCACACTGGAATATAATTTTACACCGTGACACTGAATCAGCAGGAACAATACTTTGATGCAGTTCATGTTTTAATTATAAATTTATTACATAATATAACAAACGTATCTCTGTGGTGGAGATATCCCGGGCAACATCTTAGATCTTGCCTCAACCTTCACCATCACCCTTGCTCTGTTTGCATGAGGAACACTAGGTAGCGTCTGGTTAACATTTACTTCGACGAGTGCCTTCACATCTTGAAATGGAAGATTTCTAACGCTATAAGCGCCCAGACGTCGCTGGGATTTGCCTCGTCATTGGATGCTGAGAAGGGGAAGTTCACCGGTGAGACGAGGCTGAGGCGTTGCAGGGATACTTCCACCAGTCTAAACTTCACAGTGCAAACAAGGAGAAAACCAACAATGAAAAAAAAAAAAAGCCTTTGATGATAAGATCACTGGTTCCAGTGGGTTTTTAAAAAGGTTACACTGCTCCCCCTACACTATTTAGATTGTGCTTTGTTGATTAGAAAATAAGACAAAGATAACCCTTCACTGAACATATTTCACCAAATGTTGTGTAAATCCGTTACACATTGCATTTTGCACCTTTATTTGTGGTAAACTTACACAACCATCTAACTAAGTATTCACTACAGCTTAGTTTCTTCTAAGCAGGCCAGTCTGTGTGAGTCCAGACTGTACACTTCCACGTCTTCAGTGTTTGTGATTGTATTTATATGGGAACAGTAAGCCAAGCTGGAAAATAACCATCATCACAGTAAAATCAAGCAATTGTGATACTTTGTCTCAAAATGCAAATAGAAATGTTAATGCAAAGTTCACAGGTAGATATACACAGGCTGTGTTGTGTGTGTGTATATATATATATGTCTATATACACACACACACACACACACACACACATATGTTTATATATAAACAATATCCTGCTTCTTTACAAAATAATAACAGTGACTGTATTTCCACCTGTAGGAAATACAGGAAGATCAAACAAATGTCTGTAGTTCTCAAGATTTCCAGGAGATGGCACCATATTATTGAGTCTAACAGCACAATAATGCTGTAATTAAGATAGTCCTAAAGCAAACACAAATATACAGTTAAAAGTTAAGTTATTTTTTGGCACATTTTTCCTTTGTGTTGTTTATTCCTCACTGGATCGCCTCATATAGCATATCCAAAACTCAGAAACTGAAGGTCTGAAAAAGGAAAAAGGAGTGCTGCCAGACAGAGTGGAGGGTAAGGAGCGCAAATGCCATCTGGGAATGGGTGTACAAAACAGTGACACTGCATAAGCTGTACCTACACAGTTAAAAGGTGAGTTATGGTGGTGTCTTGCAACGTAAAATGTAACAATGGTTTCGTTCAATACCCTGTGGTGATCTGTCTGTCTGTCTCTCCCTTTGGGCAGAGCAGTCCACTTTTTTGAAGACGTAACTCAGTACAAAACAAGAATGCAGGGCAATGATGTTCAATATATAGAGGATGAATGAATGTGTGCATTTATCCGTTTGTGTGTGCGTGTTTGTGTGACACAGCCACTGCCGGGAATCTCTGATGGTAACACAGTAAGGCTATAGTGGACTAGCTCCAAAGATGTAAACCCTAACAATCAACCATACACTCTCTCATTGTCACGTGCATCCCCATTTTCTCTCTCTCTCTCAAACAAATACACACAACAAATGGGAATAAACAAGCATTTGCAAACACACACACAGTCATACACACATGTTGAAGAGGAACGGCCACACAGAGAGATTCGGGGGATCCAGATGCACACATGCGCTTGGATGATGGGTGGCTTTTATGTTAGCACCTTGTCACCTTGTTTTGTGCAAATCTTCCCCTAGTTCAGAGTTCAGAGTTCAAAGTTCAAGAGTTCATAGAAAGAATAAAATCTGCTCACCTTTTCCACAGGTGGTTAACTATGCATATATGCCAAACATTCATATATAGATCTATATACTTTTTGTTTTTTCAAAAATTTATATGAAATCTATCATATATACATTGCTTGTGATTTAAAAAAAAAGATTTTTTTTTTTTTGTAGTTTGTTCATTTTTACAAGTGTAAGTACGTTTAGAATGGACAGGATATTCATTTTTTTCAGTCTTTTTTTCTGTCACTCTAAAATTCAAATGAGTGAAAGATCTAAGTATGATGTTCCACACGCTACAAAATCTACCCACAGTATCTGAGGGTAACAAATCAACAGTGAAAGGAAAAAAGAATAAAAAAAGATAAAAACGAACACAAAAACGTCCAAAATGAGTCTGACGACTCCATAACACTGGAGTCAGAAGTAAAATAATCAGTGAGGTCACAGTGAGGCAGTGAGTGCTATTCCCACAACCCAGATACGACGTTAAATTACCACCCGTTCTTACAAACTGCTGGCATCAAAGAAAGAGAAAAGAAAAGAAATGCACACAACTTCTCCCCAAGTCAAACTGCCTTGGCGTACTGACTGGATGCTGCTGATGTACGTAGGTCTTTAGTGGTAATAAGAGATCTGTTAGAGAAAAGCTATGGATAAAATGCTTTTTGTTGCGTGAATAAAACTCACTGCCAGCAGAAGCTACTCATGAGTACAATTGTAGATTTTGTATTGTTAATTAAAGAAAAAAATTCAGTTCTTTTTACAACCTGGTTCTTATTTTTAGAGTTCCTGCTGCCACCGTTTATGATAATATATTACTCACTTAGCAAACCGTAGAGACGGAAGTAGCGATGTTGCAAGACACAGCCAGGTTGTAAAAAACTGAATTTTCTGTAAGACCTTCCAGAGGTGTTCCCATCCCCACAGCCTGATAAACCACAGACACCTTCCTGCAGTGGCATTTTAGAAGGGCACGGGCTTTGTGTCTAGCTAATTTAAGCCTGTGTATGACAAGTTTTTCTGTCGTAAAAGTAGGTTTTAAGGAAAATTTTATTTTAACATTTTAAGCTTACTTTGGCCAGCTTGAACACATTTTCTGGTAGCAGTTTACTTCTGCAGCAAAGAAAGGAAAATTAAAGATTTCTGCTAAATTCCATGATCATTTCTTTCTCTACTGGTGATGAGAAAACATCCCAGTATTTCCTTCTTTCACTACACCAGACCTTGTGCAGCCTGGTCTGAGAAGCCTCATCGGGTTCACAGGGATGGAAATCTTGCTGGCTCTCAGACTGTGGTGGTGTTAACTTGTCCTCACAGATAATAATTGAAATGGATAGTTATAAAACAGCCAACAACCTCTCCACGCTAGTGCCCCAAACATCCATCCCTGAGTGATAAACAGGCAAAAGATGAAGTGCCTCTTTTACCAGTTAGCTGTGTCGTTAGGTGGTCCTTACTGTCTGTTGTTGTGGATCAAGTTGGGTCAGAACCACGTGAGTGTGATTTGTAGCTGAAGTAGTAGGGATGGGTGTCAACTGGGGTCTCAGCCTCACATTACGGGATGCCCTTTAGTATGAAGGAAGACCATATGACAATAAAAACAAACATCAAACTCTCTGTCCAAGACATGATGCAACTTGTCATGCTACGGTTCAAGAAAGGGTGACCATAAGGAAAGTTGTATACCTATGACAAAGAAAATCATTTCCATATCTATATACTTTTTTTTAAATTTCAAATATATATTTAGATATATATATATATATATATATATATATATATGTATATAATTGGTAGAAATTAGTAAACTATTGGTGGAATACATTTTAAGATTTCTCTCTGCCTTCTATACTAAAAACCAAAAACAGGCGCAGATTAATTTATTACATTTCCTCTTTGCAACATTGTCTTTTCTTCTGAAAGCTATATTTAGATACATGTATATCCTATTATATAATACCTATATATAATATTCCCTTTGGAAAACCAAAAAAATTGATTAAGAAAAAAGCCACGAGTGTTGGTTAAACATTCTCCAAATATAATAGATAGCACAGTCCGAGTACCGAGGCGGAGAGGTTTTCTCCCGTGGTTTACTAGGTGGAGCTCCACCTCTGGGCTCGAAAGTCTTAGGTTTAAAAACAACAGCAGGTATAGAGAAGACACACATTGTCAGAGCTGTGTCTGCACTATGTCCATAGTCCTGTGTTCATCATTGTTGATCTCTCTATAAATATTTTGAAAGGCAACTGAGCTTTCTGTTTGGAAAACAAAAGTCTTCCTCCTCCTCCTTTACTCAAACTGCGAAAGGCTTTTTGAGGCCTAATAGATGGAGTGATAGAGGTAGAGAGGAGAGGAGGGAATAGTGAGAGAGAGAAAGTGTGGGTGTTACTAGGGAAACAACTGAAGCTTACACAAATCAAATATTTTAACTGGAGCTCATGCGATTCTCCTCGGCAAAGAAAGACCGGAGCCCATTTCGAGGTCTGATCTAATTGGCTGCAGGCAAGGTGATGGGCAGACACTCAGGGCCAAGTAGAGGGGGAAACACGTGTTGACTCCCCCTCTTCAGTGCAGTGCCAAGTGCAGGGTGTTAATGCAGAACAAGAACATAAAGTGTCGCTAATGTACACAGGTTAACATTTGTGATGCAGAACATAAAAGCAGCCAGAGTAAAAGAGGAGCGGTCCCTATCTTTTCCCCTTCATCAACTCTATGTCTTGCCCGTTCTATCTTCATCTTTCTCTCCATCTGTTGCTGTGTCTCAGGGCAGGGGTCAGCTCTCTAGCAGCATTTTCAGTGCTCGCTCAATGTTCATGCGGTGTCCGACTCGTGTCACTCCCAGCTCTGCAAAGTCTTCCTTGGTTAAAGCTGGGAGGTGAGAGCCTTCGATCTCATGTTCCTGAAACCCTGCTCTGTGCTCCCCCAGATTTATGCTGTCCAGCCAGTCTCCTACGTCGTACTTATTCCAGAGGTGGAGGGGTTTCTGATGGAAGGGCCTGAGGGCTAAAAGTGGTGACCCCAGTCCGGGGGAATGGGAAGGTGATGGGGACGGGGAGCGAGAGCGGGAACGGGCACTGGAGCTCCTCATTACGAAGCGCACCTCTTTAGGCTCTTGGGGTAGGCTGAGGCTAGAGGATTTGAGGATGGTTTGTGGCGGTGTAGTCGGTGAGGTCGGTAGACCGAAGCTTGAGAATCGTCCAAGGGGGTCGCCCCGATCAGGTGAGCCTGATCCTGGGCTTAGGGTGCGTCGGCTGACAGGGTAACGGCTGCCAGGGCGGACGGTGAATGTGGTGCCGTAACTTCTCTGAGAAATGGTGTGGAGCTCGCCTAAGCTGCTGAAAAGTCTGGTGGAGACCGAGAGAGAGAGAGAGAGAGAGAGAGAGACAGAGAGAGAGAGAGAGAGAGAGAGAGA